GTCAGTCTAGACTGAACGAGTTCAAAGTTGGTAGGCTCTTGCCTCTGAATCAGAAAGTTGTGGGTTCACGTCCCACATTAAACAACATTCAAGTTTATTCCTTTCATACGCTCCCCAAACTACCTTATCAAGGATTCTACCCACCTATTTTGATTTCCTGAGGGAAAGTATTGGGTGATATTCCTTGAATTTTACAGGCAATCAAATGAAGGCTCTATATTCATACATCTCGCATTCCCAATGTTTAACCTTACGTCTCCCCAGCCAGCATTTCCTATTCAAATATTTTTTCCACTGATAGATGTCTGTACTCGGTCATGGCCAGTGGGGTCAATCTGGACTGTGGACAGTAATTGACAAATCTGGTCTTCTACAACAATCCTATGAGGGCATCTGTGGAGCCTGGAGGAGATTATGCTGAATTGGTGTGTGATACAATGAGCCATAGGAGAAATACATCTGAATGGAAGATGGAAAACCTGTTGTTGAGCAGATTGAAAGCTTTCATGATCCAGTCTGCTGGGGGGAAGTGGACTAAACACTGCATCACTTTGCTAGTGGTAAGGCAGCAGGTGTGGATGGTATTCATGCCGAGTGTCTAAAAGTGGCTCTGAGGGAAGGGGCAGAGAATGGCGAGGGTCTTACAGATCAATGTCACAAAATGTCAGAAGGGTTTCTTTCGATTTATTTATTTTTGTCTTCCCACTCAGCTCATATTAACCCTGCAAACCAAACTCATAATGTGCTGAGTGGCCCTAGCTGGACAAGCAATGGGATGCTTGCTAGACAGTGTTTGTCATATCTAGCTGTGTGGTTTTGAGTGATTGAACTCCAGCAATACCCCAATGCACACCCTGAGGGCCTCAAGCCTTAGCTCTCGCCATCCTGTGCCTAATAATTTCCAGAATTAGGTAAGCAGGGTGCAAACCTCCAGGGAGAAAGTACACATTCCATTCCAGACAAGGACCATTTCCACCATATGTTGCTTGCAAATGAGGAACTCTGTCTCGTTTGGATAATCCTAAGCACGGTGATGGATTTCTGCACATGATCAAAACAAAATTCCCAGACCCAGCAACGCAGGAACCACTGTATTGTGTCCAGAGAGTATTTGTTCATTTCAATCCACACCTATCCCTATATCCTCTAATTGTGTTGACAAGCAAATACTTACCCAATTCTATTTTGGAACAACTAAGTGATACAATGTCGATTGTTTTTGTTGGGAATTTGTTCTGTGAATCTGTTAACCTTTCGGGAAATAATTCTCATCCTTATTATGATTGAGGTCTTTTAATTTTAAACATGTTGCCTCTTGTTCTGCTCTCTTTGCATAATAAACAAAGCTCACTTACATCTACACCACCTGTTCCTCCCATGATTAATGGTCTATTTGTAATTTTACCTATGTCAGACCTCAGACACATTACAGGATGTGACCACAAGAGATAATACAGTTTGATAATATTATCATTATTTTGTTGAGCTGGGAATTACTTCATAAATTAGTTTGAGTTAAGTGTTGCTGTGTTCCCCAGTAATAATGGTTCAGTAAATTACATATATTTATATAGAAATTCTTATGTTCTTATTATATAGTTTGGGACACGGCATGACATGCGACTTCCAAGATGGTGGAAGGCGAACTGGATGAACTCTAGTTTTCTTTCGCCCAGTAAATTCTTATGTTCTTAAGTTAGGCTGTTCAGTACATGTTGCAGCAACGTGGTATTGAAAGTGTTAATGGCAGCAGAGAAGATGCAGATCAATATCTTGGTTGTTGAGGAAGTGTAATTCAAGGAAGTGTAATGCTTGTTCAGAGCCTTGACTGAAGAATAATGGTCTTGTCTGTACATTCATTGAATGAATACATTGGTTTCAATACCTTCTGTCTATGTGAAGCCAGGACTAAAGTTTGCCAATGACTGAAGTGAAGGTCCTTTTCACTGTATGTGTTTTGTGGTGAGTGGCATGTTAGGCTGCTTTCTGTAATTGATATGAAAAATGTGGACTTGTGAGTAAATGTCAAAAACACTTGGTCAGTAATTGATGATATGTGAACGTTGCCTAAACAAGACATTCAAGGGCATTCTAGCCTTCCATTGCATAGGGAAATGTGATAACTTTGATAAGTGCTTTTTGTCGCTGATAGTGAGATATACTGTAGGAACTTATGAATACTGCAAAGGTGAACGGACATACAGTAATTCTATCAAACCATGATTATTATTTCTAGTATGAGTTGATAGATAGAAGAAAACCTTCATAGACTCCTTCATTGAGGTAAATATATTCTGTATCTTTTTTGCTTTTTAAGTTTCTGAAGGAGGCTGCAGGGACAGCAGTATGGCTTTCCATTCATTTAAAGCATAGTGGCTGTGCTGGACCAAAGCAAGAGAGAGAATTAAACAAACCATATGTGTTACTAGTAGGAGAATCAATACAGAATAGTTTCTATAAGAAATTGCCAGTGTATTTTTAAGTAGAGTGAGAAAGAGGAAAATTGGAAAATGGCATACAGTAAGTTATGTAAAGCTTTGCACTGCCATGGAATTCCAGAAGGTTACTGCATTAAATTGCATATCATTTAGACTGGTGGTTGCTATATTTAACCCATTTTCCCAATTAACACTATCAAGAAATCTTGCAAGAGCTTTTACATTATAGAAGAGAGTGCAGCAAATGCCTATGGGATTTGCAAACAAAATTTACAGCAAAACTACTGCTACTTTTCTCTGCCTTACTATTGATTTCTAATGTTGCTGCGAGTTACACAATTGAAAACATTAGTTACTGGACTTGCTCAAATCTCAATATGTATTAGCTATGAAATGAGGATAGTACCAATGAACGTTTAGTTCTAGTGTTGAATATCTGAAACAGACTGCTATTAACAACATGCCGAAGATCCAATCCAGTTAAAAGAGATTCTTGCTTTGTAGTCTGTTGTGAGGTCCAGGTTTATGTGTGGTCCTTGTGTTCCTAATGTGCAGACATGAAGCAAATTCCTTTCTTATAAGCCATGATGGGTTTACACAGTCTTATACTGCCTAAAATAATATGCATCATTAAATGACATATCAATTATGTAAATACAATATATGTAGTACGTGCTTACAATTATCTATCTCACTATTGTTTTTTTTTGACGTTAATGAGAGAATGATTATTGAACAATTGAACTAAAGGTCAGCATATAAAATCTATGTATTGATATATATATGTACATATAAAATGTATATACATATCACAAAATATGTAATGTATTCCAAATTTCTTTATGTACATGTGAATTGCTTCATTATTGTTAAGTATTAATGGAGTTATAGTGCTACAATCGTCTTATATCATCATGTACAACCCACATGACAATTGCACAAATCTCTCCCATCAGCCTTCTCTTATGCCAAATAAACCTTAATGAAGGCTGCATTGCTGCTGCTGAGAAAACATTTTGGTTGATGCCTGCAACTTGTTTCATAAGATCAGAAGCACTCAATATGTACACAGATTTCCTAATAATTACATAACTTGCCAGTCACAGTTCCATATTTTTTCTATTATCTCCAGTATTCAAAAAAAAGTGTAAAGTATACCTCAGTCACAGCTCCTAAGAGGCATGGAGAAATGAAATGATACCTTTTCCACTGTTCCACACAGACACACTCCTGTGACCAGATCCGGTGGAGGTATCAACTCACTGTTGACCTTCAGTATCTGACTATTCATTAAAATCAGGAGTTGTTTAGACTACGGAACACAGAAGAGGATAATTTTATTTAATATACTTCCCCTTCTCCCCTAGTAACTGACTCTTTTTAAAAATTGTTTTAACATTATGTTTTATCAGATATCAGAATATCTAAATGTACATAATGGGCCTATTGGTTGTTATCAGTTTTCTTTGGAACTAACAGCAATGCATAATTTGCACAATATCAGATAACTGGATCAGCTAATGCGGTTAAACAGTTTCAGAAAGCTGAGTTAGGCAGACAGGCTCTGAAGTAATGCTTTTATCTTAAAGAGTTTCTGAATACCTGAATATGTCTGTTGTATATAATACAGTACCTTAAATATATAACAGGGATAAGCCTAAAACGAAAAAGTGAATAGTACATACTGAGCTGGATGGACTACATTTGCACAACTACATTAAGATAGATCTTGGAACAGGCTGGATTCAAAAAGTGGATAGCCTGAGGTGTGAGTACCTAATCTTTTTGGTCATATCTCCAGTATTACTGTGCAGTGAGAATGTTTCACCTGACCATGCCGTGTCTGTATGGCCGTTGAGACTTGTGAACAAGGAATGTTTCTATCCGATAGTAATTCCTGTAAATCATTTCTGGATCAACCCTTAAGCTACATAGTTGTGGAGTTTTTAAAAGGTTCTAATGAAGTCAAATGCCACTGAAAAACATTAACGTTTTAAACTAAATGTATTGTCGTTTCCTCACGTAGCCCTGAATTATGAAGACCTTCCATGTATAGAATTAAATCTGAATGATTCTTGAAAAAGCTTCTTATACTTAATTGAAAAGTGCAGAGCCATTAAGTACAGTATTCATCATTTTCCCTTAATGGGATTACTCTTTTGGTGTGCTATGTGTTTGCAGTTACATGCAATGTTACAGCATGAAATAGGCCAATTGGCCCAACCAGTCCATACCAATGTTTATACTCCACATGAGTCTCCACTTCTCCTAATCCCTTCTCCTATACCTCTCTATTATCTTCTCCCTCGTCAAGTTTAATCTTAAATATGCTGATGCTTTTTGCTTCAATCACAATTTCTGGCAGTGAGTTCCACATTCTCAAGAGTAAGGAAGTTCCACACCCTATGGGTAAAGAAGTTGTTGCTAATCTCCTTTTCAGATCATTTAACATTTTGCCAGATAAGATGTGTTGATTGGATTAGAGAACCTCTTTGAGATGTACTGTATGAAGATAAAGGCAAGTGTAATTCTGTTCTGTAATGCCTGTCTTTTACTTTCCAGAGTTACTGAAGATGATTTGGTCAGAAGTAGTTCCTGGGGAGCTAATGCCACAATGAAGACATACACACATGGAGCAGCTACTGTAATTTTCATCAATCTCTTCTGCTCCCTGTTGGCGCAGCCTGTGAATGCAAAGTCTGGTGGCAGTATCCATTTTATGAATGGCAATTACGATGGTCACCCCATGCTGTACTTTGGGAAGGAAGATGTGGAAGATCTGCGGGTCAAAGCTCGAGGCTCCCATTGGCACATTGCAACCAGGATCCGGGATGCAGTACAGATTATGTTGTTGAACCCAGTGGAGTACTTGCCTCCCTGGGATCCAAAACATTTTAGTGCCCGTTGGAATGAAATGTATGGCAATAACCTGGGAGTGCTGGCTATATTCTGTGTGCTTTTCCCTGAGAGAACTGAAGCTCTGGAGTTTACCTTGGATTACATGGAGAGGATGGCATCTCAGCCTAGTTGGTAGATTTTTGTCTTGATTTTTCTAACCAGCGCTGGCGAGTTCACTTATCTACCATGTTTAACTGAAAAAACACAAAACTTTTAATTAATCTCTGCTCAAGAATGAAATGTTGGAAGTAACCACTAGATCAATGGGAAAGTTGTTATTGGTAGTGTTGTGCTGTGAACTATACATACATGCTTTGAAATGTCTCTGTGCAGTAATAATAATAATAATCCTTGCGTTTGATATAGCGCTTTTCACGTTTTCTAGATGTTTCAAAGCGCTTCACAGAATAGACTGTGAAGTGAATTGACTGTATATTTGTGGGCAAAACGCAGCAGCCAATTGCGCACAGCAGTGTCCTACAAACAGTCGTGGATTGAAGTGACCAATTTATTATTTTTTTCTTGAAGGATTATTATCAGGCGTGTAGAGTAAGGAAACTTACCCAAAGTTTCACCCTGCCGGGAATCAAACCCAGGTCTCTCATTTGCGAGGCGAGTGTTCTAACCACTGAGCTACAGGACTCATACAAGTCAATTAATATGACTTATGCAAAGTATGAGTTCTCTGTCAAACTTGAATAGAATATAAACTCTTCAACGGGACTTGGGAAGATGAACGACTTAAGCAATTATATGATTAATACAGATCAGACTTATGCGAGTTTTACTATATATCAAATGCAAACATCTGATAAATCCATTCCCTCCTCAGTCCTGAGAACTGATGCCAACTTTTAATACCTCTGCTGCTGCCCCAACTGAGAGTGACTAGCATGACAAGGTCTGGGGATTGAACCTAGGGTCATCTGTGATTTGTTTAGCTCAGTTTCATACCAGATAGTTACCTTAACAACTGAATCATGTGTGTGTGTGTGGGGTGGGGGGCTGAATATAAAATTGGATATGAGGAAAATCATTGAAATTAATTCTTCACTCACTAGGATACACTTAAATTACGGCCTCTAGTGTAATGCCCAGTAATACCTAGTGTTATGACTCCCTCTGGGAGAGACTAATGGAGAGACTATATTGCTCCTTGCCCAGTCTTTTTAACCTGCTTTGTGTACAGTGTCCAATAATGGTAAATAGACAGTCAAATGTGGTTATTTAAAACTTTTTGATAGAAGGATTCCTAGTATCTATGTTGTTCTTGTGTTTATGTTTCTAAATGTCACTGCATTCAGAATGGTTTAGCATGACTGAATATGCAGTCTGTAAAAGTAATCATGTTTTCTATTAAGAAGCTCCAAGATGTGAATCAGTTCAGACTGATTAACCCTTGTTGTCTCCCTCGATTGTCTCATTGAACTATGCAGCAAACACATCCCAAAGCTCTTTCTAATAATAATAATCCTTGCATTTGATACAGCACTTTTCACGTCTTCTAGACGTCTCAAAGCGCTTTATAGAATATACTGTAAAGTGAATTGACTGTATATTTGTGGGCGAAACGCAGCAGCCAATTGCGCACAGCAGTGTCCCACAAACAGTCATGGATTGAAGTGATCAATTTATTATTGTTTTTTTCTTGAGGGATTATTATCAGGCATGTGGAGTAAGGAAACTTGCCCAAGGATTCGCCCTGCCGGGAATCGAACCCAGGTGTCTTGCTTGCGAGGCGAGTGCTCTAACCAGTGAGCTACAGGATTCCACAACGCCCAAGTGAAATCTGATCTCTCATTAAAGGATTAGGCTAGACTGAATGTTCAAGTTTAAGTAAACAAGATATACCAAGGAATATATTGTCCAGACCATCATGTAATTTGGTTTGAAACTTAGGAAATCATGGATGGGTTGGTAATTATTTAAGTCCAGTCTTTAAGGCTTCCTTTGGTGCGAGTATGGATCTGCAGAACAGAAGGGAACTAAATGAGTAATCCATTTCTACTACATCTATTCTGGGCATTATGTGTAGCTAAATGACAATGCTGTCTCTATCTTTTCCTTTGTGAGGAAGTGCCAGACCTCCTGGACTCTGCCAGTAAGACTATTTTTGTCTTAAAATTTAAGATTGTGCAAAATTATAGAAAATTCTTGAATTGAGCCTTAATTTGGAAGCCAGTTCTTTTTAAGAATCTTGGAAAACTGGCTTCCAAATTAAGAGTGAATTCAAGAATTTCCAGAATTCCATACAATCTTAAATTTTAAAATAAAATGGTCTTGTCAATGAAGATTGGGTGGACATTTGGGCCTCAAGAGTATATTTTGATGGAAGACTGTAAGAACACAACTTATTTAGTGGTGAATGGTGATGGACCCTGTAAAAAAAATCAACAACAACAAATTACATTCACAGTAAACTTTTGATAACTCGCCACTCCAAGGGAGAAGGGCTCAATGACTAGCAATCCAGAGAGGCTGGTTAGGCATAGGTCCTCCCGAGCTGCAAGGGGGCACTGTGACTGGTGCAGGCACTCGGTAATGTTTGGGCACACCTGCTCAGTCAGATGCATCGCAGAGGCCTCTGGTCTATTGGAGGGTCCATTCCTTGGCTTCTTGGCCTATCCTGTCACAGGATAGGCTGGGACCCTACAAAACTCTATCTTATAAGACTAGTCATCTAATCAATTTTTGCATTGTAAGTATTTCCAAGAATTTCTGGAATGAGATTAATTAAGTGTTCAGTGGAGTGACAAGTAAAGCGGCATCCTTTATTAACATTTTGCATAGGAAACGGCCAGGATACTGATAGCATGGCCACTTAAATGGCAGTGACAAGCTAAGCCGGGATCTTGTTATCAGGAATTCACTGTATTAGCACTTTTCATGGCAGGAGGAATTCCCAAGACACTGTACAGTCAGGGGTTTGTACCTGGGGGTTGTATTTGGGAGGGGTGGGTCCAAGAGAGGGTGGGGCAAGGGAGCAAAGATGACCAAAGGCAGGGTCACAGAGGAAGGTCTTGAGACCTCCTTAAAGGAGGCGAGAGAAGGGACAAGGTAGAGGGACTCTGAGATAAAGTTTCAGAGATTAGGGGCAGATAAGATGAAAGCCTGACCACTCATGGTGGGGTGGGCAGGATGGGGGAAGTGAAGCAGGTCAGCGCTTGCTGAGCAGAAGGAGCAGGCAGGTTGGTAGGGTTTAAGAATGTGTTTATAAATCGAGGTTCAGGGATGCACAGCATAGAGATTACCATTGTTGGGTCCTGTAGCTTAGTGGTTAGAGTACTCGCCTCACAAGCGAGAGACCTGGGTTTGATTCCTGGGCAGGGCAAAACGTTGGGCAGGTTTTCTTACCCCACACATCTCTGTTTACCTAGCAGTAAGTAGGAACCCAATTGTTAGACGAGTGGCAGTTTGCTTTTCCAGGGGTAATAGTCCCTTCAAAAAATAATAATAATAATTTGGTCAGTCAATCCATGACTGTTTGTGAGACACTGCTGTACGCAATTGGCTGCTGCGTTTCACCCACAAAATCTACAGTCAATTCACTTAACAATATATTCTGTGAAGCACTTTGAGACATCTCGAAGACATGATAAGGCGCTATATCAAATGTAATATTACCATTGAACCAGTCATGTCAAAAAGCATGCTGGTGATTGTGTATTGCAACACAGCTTTCAAGATGATGAATCATTTTAGAGTTAATGAGATCTTGGATTTTGGAACAAAAGAGGGAAGCAAGGCACTTGGGACTTGGCAAACTTGTCTCCTGGTTATTTCATGGAAAATGCGGCCTGGATGATTTCTTTAAAGAAAAGTATTTCTTTACTGTTTTTCCAGTTACAGCACTGGAGTCATAGTCTGGGAAGATCTAATAAAGAACTATCAATGGAATGTCTTCAGTGTTATGCTTGTGGAAGGAGAGGGGGCTCAAGCAGAAGTGCTTAGTTTTTTTTTGTATTTAAAGCATTCATTATACGTTTCCTCTCTTCAAAGGCTGGTAAAGGATGCTCCATGGGATGAGGTTCCTTTGGCTCACTCCCTGGTGAGTTTTGCCACCGCATATGACTTCCTGTATGATCATTTGAACAAGTCTCGACAGGAAAGATATGTGGAGGTTATAGCTGATGCCTCTCGATATATGTATGAAATGTCTTACAGCCGTGGATGGGGATTTCAGTACCTGCACAATCATCAACCCACCAACTGTGTGGCCTTGTTGACGGGAAGCCTTATTCTTATGACTCAAGGTACGTAACACTGTTTATTAGAACCCTGTAACATATCCAATAGTGTCTCACACAGCTAACATGTGGGCCCCCTTGTGCAAAGTCTTCCAACAGAAACATTGCTAAAGTATTTTGTGGTCAATTGTAGTTACGGAAAATCATTTGACTCACACAGACTTCTCGTTTTTTAAAGTTTTATTTGCATACTCTTCTATTTGCTTTTCCATAGAAATCCATGACACAGCAGGAGGCCATGGTGAGCTAATGGTAGTGTCAGGACCTGAAAGAAGCCATCTAATCTTATCGCAATTCCCAGCAATTGCCGTACCCCTCTTGCGTGTGCTTAAATGTCTTCAAAACCTTTCTCTTTGACCGTGCCTTCAGCTCCCCTCTCGACTCTCTTCCCCCTCCTCGCTCCCTCCCTTCCCTCCCCTCACCCTGACCATTTCCCCCCTCCTTGCTCCCTCCCTTCCCTCACCCTGACCATTTCCCCCCTCCTCGCTCCCTCCCTTCCCTCCCCTCACCCTGACCATTTCCCCCCTGCTCGGGTCATGACCCAACTGTGCAGTGCCTTGGGACGTCCTCCTGACGTGAAAGGCGCTTTATAAATGGAATCTTGTTGTTGTTGTTGTTGTTCAATTGACTGCTCCAACAATCTCCCCTGGAAAACCATTCCATATTTTGGTAATCATCAGCTGAACTGAATTCCAATCATCTATGGAGGCACATCATTATTTACAGATTAGATAACAATAATGCAAATAGATAACAATATAGCAATTATGCAAAACATCTTTAGTAAATAATTAATGCAATATTTAATGGTAAGTTGGCACTGCTTTTAAAAACAGTTTTAATCAACTATGATTAACTTTAATGACCTGTGTATCTATGGCTACACTTCTTGAGGGTAGAAATTCTTTCACTTTGAAACTCTTTGGTTAACTTGATTTCTTAGCCAATTTTAACAAGTGAGCTGGTCTTGCGTAGCCCGCTGCCAGTGTTTCTCTGAGCTGGCAGTAACCTCAGTCAGGGAATTCAACAAAGATTGAGAATTCCACAATGGGGAATTGTGCACCAAAGGCCAGGCAGGTCTGTAGTTCTCTATGGGACTGCTGATGACACACCAGATAGCCTGATAGGACCTCAAGGCAGCTCCTGTTAACCTTGCAAGCCATAGCCCTAACAAGTAGGGGGTCCTAGTTGGACAAGCTGTGGGAAGCTTGACAGAAAGTGCAAATACTCTCCAGCATTAGATAGACAGTCTATTCCTCTGGGGAGAGAGTGCACATTCCATTGAAAAACATGGGAATTTTCATGTATGGGTGGCATGGATGGAACTCGTAGTTTGGTTTTGGTACTCTTAAACATGTTGTTGGGTTTCAGCATGTGTCAGACACTCAGCTGACTGTAAAATTTGGGGAGGAGATGAATCTGGTCTCCTATTACTCCACCGTACCAGGTGCTGGTGTTCACTGATCATCATCCCATCTTTCTGTAGTGTTTTTTAAAAAANTGTTTGGACACTGGGCGATATGGAACTGAATGAATGGAGTTATTTGACTAAACAATGTTGTCAGTGTGTTGTCTGATGACACCAGGAGTACATCATTATCAAAGCAATGCTTTAATTAGATCTGCTTGTGCCTGTGCTGATAAATTATTGGCTCAAATCTCTGCTGGACAAACATTGAAATAGTTAATGTCAACTAGTGGTGGGGGGTGGGGTGGGTTTGCACTGGTTCAGTTGTGCTCAGATATTCAGTGGGAAGCCTACTTCTTTTTGTTCATTATATTACCTGCAAAGATCCATTGAACATTTCCAGTTCTTTTCAACAATCTATTTAATGATGCAGTGTTCAATAGTTTTTTTTATTTTTCCCCAAATGTCTTCCCTTTCCTCCTTAGGCAGGAACTCATTGTGGGAAGGTTCTATTAACTCTAGTCCCCATCCGCCAAGTGGCAATTATTCATTTATGACTCTAGACACAGCAAGGTCTCCTAAAAGTTCAGCTGGCTAAGGAGGGGAAAGACATCACAGTCGAGACCAATCTTATCTTCACCTGACATCTACATACATTCATCTCCAGCAGGGCGTCCATTAGATAGTGATCAGATTCTTATGGCCTTAGCATTGCCTTCAAATTTAAGACATTACAAGTTTGGAAATTCAATCTTAATTGGAAAGCTGCAGCTCTTAAAGAAAAACAAGACCAAATTCCAAATTTTGTATAATCTTAAAATTAAAAACAATGATCTTAAGACTAACACGATGAAACATGTTGAACCTCAGGTTTTGAATTTATTCCATCTTATATCTATTTATCTAATTTGCTTAACATACCACAAAGAAAATCTTTTATTCTATTTCTATTCCCTTTGCAACCAATCCATGTGTATTCTTCTTGTATTCTGTTGTGAGATTCAGTCTGCAAAGTTATGCTGTCTGGATCAGCTTTCGGCATCATTGAAATTTTCATAGTTCCAGCTGTTCACAAAGTGAAAGGTTTTTACATTCTCTTTGAACATGGTGCTCTTCCTTAATGTATTCCATTCTATGTGTTTATTTTTTCCCCTGTGGGAGTGGAATTAATTTTGTGTTTTTGTAATTGTACCTTTGTGTTTCACAATTATCTTTCATTTCGTCTGATCAGTCCTGTGCTGCAAAAGTTATGGAAAACATAAAGTACCAATCAGGATAATAATAATCTTTGTATTTTGATATCCAATATTTGGATAAGCTGATGGGACACACTAATTGACCTCCACTGAGTAGTTAACAAGGCTATTAATGCTTCCCACATAAAGGGGTAGGCTAAAAAAATGAAGTAGGCAGCGAGAAATGTGTGACTCACTTTTGTACAATCTTTTTTTGGAATTTCATGCATGGGTTTATGTTGCTCAGTTGCAGTAACCTAGCTGCTAAACAATTGTAAATTCTTTGATAGAAAGATAAATGGTTTCTTGTAATATGTTACACAATTTTTGCACAATCTGGGGTCAGCTGCAAGAATTGTGTCATTGCACTTAGAAGTTCTAGCCTCGAAGTAAACTATTTGGCCTGTTATTTTAGCATCTACTGAAGCTAAATACTTTAATTCTTATTCCCTGTGCTTCTCCACCCCCATACTGATTTTCATATTTCTCCTTTTTAAGCATTTATCCAACTTCCTCGTAATTGCTGTCACTACTGACGTTGTTAATAAATATTATGAATTGCAGAAACTGCTAATTTTGGAACTACTTTATTGCCAGCACTCTCTGGCATGTAAAGTGCAAAAGTGTACAATTGATAAGTGGGTTAGAACAAAGGGAGTCCAGCTTTTGTACTTTCCTATAAGACAAAGAGCTTCAGAGGATATACTGTAAAGTTGTAGTGACTGTGTATTTTGTAGGCAAGCACAGCAGTCAATTTGGGCAAAGTGATGACCTACAAACAGCCAAGAAGTGAGTGACCAATTACTTGAAGCTATCATGGAGCCTCTAATCCCCATTAATGGAGAAGAGGGGAAGTCAAACATACATACTAAACATTAAGGATTTAATTTAAAATATCAGCTGAAATTAATTTGGGAAGGTTTGGGGAAAAAATTCACATGGAAAATTTCTATGAGGTGTTAGCTCACAGAAATTATTTGGAGAAAGAAAAGGCAAAGGGCAAAAGTTGACCGCAGTCAACAATCATTATATTAAAATAATAACAAAAGTATGTACAATACTTACATCCCTAGCGATGTGCATTCTGCTGTGTGTTTCCGCTTCTTAGCTTGCAGCTTCTCAATGAGCGCTCATGAGCCTGACTCAGTCCATCCCATTTCTATGTGAAAAGGAAAGAGAGTAAGACCCCTGTTGATGTATCCCCAGGGCAGAAGGGAAGGAGGAGACAGAGATCAAGGTCATGCATTCCATGATTTACGGCTGCATGCTGTTCGTTAACAACTAATCTTCAGCTCCCTGGCTCATTCCAAACCCCCAACTCCTGCTCTTCCTCATTGGTGCGATTAAAGTCTCCACTATGATTTCTGCCACCATCAATTCCTGCCTATCTCTATGCCATCCATTTGGTCCCACTCCATGGTCATTATCTTAAATTAAAATAATGTGCAATATTCACATCCTTAGGTATAAATATTATGAGCCCTGTTAGGTAAGAGCTTTGTGCTGCCCCTCTCCCCCCCTTTCTTAGAAAACATACAATTATTTCTGTTTACAGCATTGACAGCCTGGCTCAGTTGATAGACCCACCCTGGGATTTTACTATTACAATTTACAATCTACTTTGATTTAACATAGTCTATGCTGTGTTGCAAGTAGGCAGCATTGGTGGATGGGCTGTCATTCAGAATAGATGTTAAACCAAGTGAAAACCAAGTCTGCCTTCCCAGTGAATATTAAAGATCTTTTGATATGATTCAAGAAGAGAAGGGAATTTCTCCAGTGTTCTGACCAACATTCCCTTAGATAAAATTGGCTATTCACTTTATTACTATTTCTGGGACTTTGCTAATGTGCAAATTACATTTACATTTACAAAATACACATTCTCCACACTTCACAGTAAATGGTGTGAAGAGTTTTGAGACATCTTCCTGTTACGATAAAGCTCCATGTCAAATGTAAGGTTTATTAGACTGTCTTTTGTTGATCTCACCTTAGCACTTGCCTTCAACTCTTCGAAAGGATATCCCGCTGTAGACAGGACCTTGTGAAGGCATTGGTAGCATTTACCCAGGCCAAAACCTCAAGCAGAATCCTGCTTAATAGCCTCAGCTCGGACCAGCCAGCTTGAAAAGTTCAAAGTTCTCCTCCTCCTCCTCTTCCCCCCCGTCATAACGCTCCTGCTGGTGATGCTATGTTTCCAGTTCTATTTCCCACTGAAATAAATGGGAGATATGTCCTCATGGTAATTAACATTTTGTGTTTTTTAACTGAGGGTCACCACCTCATTCTGATAATGGCTTCAAATTCAGCCTATTTTATCCCAGCCAGAGATTTAAGACTATTGCAACATGAGCAGTTTGGCACAAAGGAAATGTACATAAACACTATCTAGACCTCTTTACTCGAGAGTAATGCAGGAAGTAACATTGGTAGCAATCTGTTGACCAGGAAGTCATCATTTTTTTTACACACGTGAGCTAATTGCACACACAGTGAATGCAGAAACTGACCAGGTATTGACATGTTACCAGGGCTGCATTGTATAACAGAACAACTTGATTTTGATTAAAGAATTTTTTAAAAAAAAACTATAGTGTTTAATGCTAACTAGAGTTTGAAATTGAACCTAATTTCCAAATTATAAACTATCATTTAAACTGTAGAAAGCCCCTAATAGATATATACAAAGACAAAAATAGGATATTCTTCTTAAATAAACCAAAACTACATAAAATACTATTTTTGAAATATTTTCATGTCAGCTGTTTCCTGACTAGAGAGCCTTCATTTGCAGCTGCTAAACACCTTTTTAATCACAGGTTTGCTAACATGCTTGCCCTTAAATTGTGCTCTTTCCCTGAGCTGTTTATATGCTGATTCAATCGTGTTTTTCTCAAGATGAGTAGTCCAGTGACGTTAGTTTAAGATAATGATTTTTGATTCTCGTTCTCAGTTTTGTGAGAAATGTACAAATGAGTACTTCAGTGTGAATTTCTGCAATTATTTTCCAGTGTTTGAAGATGCTGTTGGAACATGAAGTGACAAGTAACAAAACTGTCCCGCTCTTGAGTTATAAACTGCTGAGTGGCTTGCAATGGTTAGGTCTTGACTTATCGTAGCCCTAAAATGTATTTTTCTTTGTAACCATCAAAAAAAAGTGTTGCCATAGGCTCAATTATGTGTTTGCTTTAAATTTTTGATTTTAGAAGTTTCAGAGTTGTTTATTTTTTGTTAAAAATGATTTTTTTGTACTCTTTGACAATATTTAATGAAAAAAAGTACAAATAAACATATAACAGCAACATTTAATTGAACTTGCTTATTGGATCTTGTTGATTTTTGTCATCGTTTTTTAACTCCAAACATTGTCGGCTTCCTGTTTAGAAGATCATCATAGATGTCACTTCTGTGCTTTGTACAAGAAGATGGCATCAGCAGTGCTTCCTGTGCGCAACCCAGTGGAAGTGGAGTCCTGTAGCTCAGTGGTTAGAGCACTCGCTTTGCAAGTGAGAGACCTGAGTTCAATTCCAGGCAGAGGGCGAAACCTTGGGCAAGTTTCCTTACTCCACACGCCTAATAATAATCCCTCCAAAACCAAAAACAATAATACATTGGTCATTTTCAATCTCCAACTGTTTGTGGGACATTGCTGTGCGCAATTGGCTGCCGCGTCCACCCATAAATGTACAGCCAATTCACTTTACAGTGTCTTCTGTGAAGCACTTTGGGACGTCCTCTCGACGAGAAAAGCACTATATCAAATGCAAGGATTATTAAGTGGCATCAGTATCGTGTTGACCCATAAGTTGGAAGTTAATTTGTCAGCGTTTGAAGCTGGGTGTATTGCACTTCCAGTTAGCAGCAGTCCACAGTAAGCCTCCTCCATACGTGAGGCAGCATTATATAGTGGGGCATGCAGTACTTTGTTTCCTATTGTAAGTGCAATTAGGACTACACACTCCTAACTGTGTTGTATTTTGGCAGTCAGAAACCCATTTAACTGTGATGATGCTAAGTCTGTGAAGATGCTAAGTCTTCAGTCATCTAAGAGCTTAATAATAATAATAATCCTTGCATTTCATATAGCACTTTTCATGTCTTCGAGACATCTCAAAGCGCTTCACAGAATATACTGTAAAGTGAATTGACTGTATATTTGTGAGCGAAAGCTTGTGATTTCTTTAGTAACATTTCATTGACTTGTGTAGCTAACGTGGTTTGTTTAAGCCAAATTTTCATTGAGATGCGAGAGTAAATTGAGGGTATACTTGACGTAGCGCCTTATCATGTTGTTGAGACATCTTAAAGTGTTTCAAAGCGGGTAACCAATTTGCACACAGCAATGTCCCACAAACAATCATGAAGTGAATGATCAGTTTTATCTGGAGGATTGTTGGCAATGTCAGTTTTCTCCCTCTCCTAACTGCACTTACAATTTGCTGAGGGATGGTTAAAAGGGAGCCAGATGAGACTGGACCCTCTAGAGAGAAATCGTACATTCCATTCCAGACACAGTGAAATTTCCCTAAGCACTTGGCATTCATATGTGGGGCTGGTTTGGATACCTTGAAGCATGGTGATCGGTTTCTGTGTGTGTCAGACCGACCAAAAACAAAATCGTTAAGCAATGGTTGTGCACTTTGGTTGGCAAACTGGTATAATATATGGAGTTTTAGCACTCACGCCACAACAATAATGGGATTCAGTTCAATTCACTGGCAAGAGTGAAGTACCAATCACTGGAGCAATTTTGTGAAGAATGAGGTAGAATAATGTCTAGAAGTTGATCTTCTCTGTCTCCTGCATTCAGTTTGTTAGTTATGTTGGGTAGAGGTCTGGGACTAGGTCCACTGCACTTTCTGAGTAGCTGGAAGATGAACTGGACTAGCCAGGGGAAGAAATAGATGAATTTTTAAATGTAATATTTATAAATTTTACAGCACATCTGCCTGTCTCTTTGTTCCACCAATTTCATTGAAATGGGGAACAATGACATGAATTAGCGTTATCATGAGTCTATCTAAGTGTGTAACAATAGCTCCACCTAGCAGCCAATGTAAAAATGACCAAGCTTTTTACATTCATAATACAGCAAAACTCCTCAAAGTGCTGTACATGAAGAAGAGAAGCACTTCAGAGTGAAATCTATCCTAAACACCAGTAAGTTGTATATGCCCAGCTCACAAATGAAATAAATAAAAGAATTCAGCAGCCTATACTTGGCCCTCTCCTTTTTTTCATTGACATGATCTCCCTCAATGGTATCATTCATAGGTATGGGGTCAACTTCCACATGTATGCAGGTGATACCCAAATCTGTTTTTCCTCCACTATTCATTACCCCCAGTCCTCCTGATATTCTTACCTCCTCGTCTGGCAGGTCTGGATTAGTGCTAACTTTCTGCAGCTGAACATGGACAAGAAGTTATTTCCTTGGATCCGATCAATATCTTCTAACATTCAGTTCTGAATTCCTTAATCTTCCCTGCCTACCCCTCAGACTCACCAAACTTATATGCAACCAAGGTGTCAGGTTTGATCACTAGGTGTGCTTCCTGCTCCACATTCAATTCATGACTACGACTGCCTTCCGCCAGCTCTGCCATATCGCCTGCCTTTGCCCCCATCTTACTTCAAACTTTGCTGAAATTCTCATTCATGTTACTGTCATCTCCTCCTCAATTTTTCCAATGTACTCCTCAATGGTCAAGGTTCAAATGATTCAAAACTCTGGATGCTAGTTAATTACAAGTTGTTGGTGGTGTATTGCTGTTCAACTTGCTGTTCAGTAGAAGTTACTTATTTGACTGTTTTGACTGTTTTCTTCTATGAACTCTAGGTTACCTCCAAGAAGCTTATCTGTGGACAAAGCAGGTCCTTGCCATTCTGGAAAAGTCAATGGTTCTGTTGCAGGATGTTAAGGATGGCTCACTGTATGAAGGAGTGGCTTACGGCAGTTACACCACCAGATCCCTGTTCCAGTACATGTTCCTAGTACAGAAACATTTCAACATCAGCCACTTCGACCATCCATGGATCAAGCAGCACTTTGCCTTTTACTACAGGACCGTGCTCCCAGGTAGGAATTTGCCAATAAGAAATAAAGTTCCCTTTAATTACACTTCAAAAGTGCTTTTATGAACAAAGACTTTTATACACTGATCCCATAAAACCACTGACATCTCAAGGAATAGCTGGCCACGGAAACGCAGAAATAAGGGACACAGGAGGAAAAACAAGACACTCCTGTCCACTCTTACGCCTTTAAAATAACCTGCACTGTGTGTGGATCATGTGGTAAATATGCTTTAACGCATTACTGGGAGTCAAAAAATCTCTGGAACAGTGCAGAGTTCAATGTGTGGGACCACAGTCCCAAGGATACCTCAGGTCAGAGGCAAAACCTCACAAGTCAACATGACATAACCAGGGTTTGCTGCAGTTTGCGTGCCTGATGCTTTTAACAGTAGTTACACCATTCCAGAACTTTTTCAACCCCACCATGTAGGAATTTTTCAAAAGTATTTAAAAGCTGTGTTTGATATTAAAGATAGAGAATCGGGATTGAGTGATATGTACTAGTTGTGTTGGTTCCTGTTTACAATTAATCCTTCACTTCAGTTTCCTGTGCAACGTAATATTAAATTAGGCATTTCGATCAGATTTGCTGCATGCAATACCAGCTTTCCTCCCGAGTGAATGCCTTATATTAAAAAAAGGGCTTGTTTGATTTTGGTCACCCATCTGTAAATATCAGTTTACATTCTGCTGTGTATTATGCTGAATGCTGTACATTCATTCAGCCAAAAAGCAATATTTTATTAACTAGATACAATACTGACCTTCTTGTTTGAATGTTTCAAGGGAGTCTTAGAATCTTATTATTTTTTAAATATCAGATGTAAATAGCTTGTGGGCTTGTATTGGGAGTGTTGCTTCCAACCAAAATATTGCAATTGACAAGTGATAAAACTACACTCATCACTAATGAACAATGAAACCTTTGTTTGTGTCTCCATTTGGCAATTTGTTAACTAAGTGGAAATAATCACTTAAAGTTCATTTGTATGCATACAAATTTTCTAAGCGAGACCTAACCTGACATTGGCGTTCCTGCAAACTTCTACTTGCACCTCAGAAATTTCCTAACAGAGACCTAGGACTGACAAAGCACTGATTACATTTGTTGGTAGATTTTCAGTTTACAGTTGAGGAATCACCAACATGCCATTGGTTATTAATCTAACCAGCAATTATACATTTGTTGCGTCATCTACGTAATATCTCTGTGTACATACATGTTCAAAGCTTTGCATGGAGCACACAATAATATGTCAACTTGTACCTGAATAAAGAATATATTTACACCCAAAAAAAATATTTATATTACGCCTTTCACTTTGGGAGGATGACTTAAAGGGCTTCTGTGATAGCCCGGGGTGGTGGGAGGTGATCAAAGAAGAGCGCATTATAAGTCTTAATGTGGGTTTTACTAAATGCCTAATTTAGTAATACGATGCACAGGAGACTGAAGTGAAGGATTAATTGTTCACCAGATGGCATACAGTTTACCCTAAACTGAAAATATCACAGCAGAGGGAGGGTAAAGGCATTATGTTCTGATCAAGTTGGTGATGCTATTCTAAGAAGACATCTATAGAGGGAGATGTTGTCACTTCCATGTCCACCAGAGAATTTTTCCTCAGTTCTGGTTCTAATAAAGAACCACGGCAGAAATGTTGACTTATCTTTCTCTTTCAGTTGTTTTTGGTTTTCTCTGCATTTCCAGCATTCTCTGTTTTTATTTGCAACATATTTTTAGTTATTCTACAAACATTGTTGAACCTATAGCCCTATTTGGGTGAAAGTGCCAGAGAGTGACAAACAATAATGATCCTTGCATTTAATATAGCGCCTTATCATGTTGAAATGTTTCACAATGCTTCACAGTAGATACTGTCAAGTGTAACGACTGTGTATTTGAAGGCAATTACAGCAGCTATTTTGTACACAACAGCAACAAGATTACATTTGTATGGCGCCTTTCACGTCGGGAGGACGTCCCAAGGCGCTGGAGAGTGTGCAGCATTTCAGACCCGAGCCTGGGTCGGGGGAGAGAAGGGAAGGGAGGGGAAAGGGAGTGGCCGATGGCATGTTGCACAGTTAGAATATCAATGTCCAGTTTACTTGGAGTATTGTTGGCAAGGACACTGAGGGAAACTCCCTTCTATTTTCGAATAGCATCATGAGTGCTTTAATGGCCAAGTTATACATTATTCCATAATTTTCCTAGAATAGTACTTAAATCACATTTTTTTATATATGAACAGTAAAAGCAGAAAGATCTTGACTGGGCATTAGTGTCTGGAAGGAAGCATTGCATTAAGTGTGAGATATGCCTACATGTGCAGTGTTTTGCTTTATGTTTCTAATGTCTGTCGAGGAACCCATCAGTAACTAACTGGCCTGTTCTTTATGGTACAGGAAGAAACACAGATAAATTATGAAAAAAATGCAAAATAATTTATAATAATAAATGTCTTTGCTTTTGATATAGCACCTTATTTTGCAACGTCTCAAAGCAATTCATGGCTTTCTCTGTAAAGTGTTGTGACTATGTATTGTAATATTAATAATCTTTGTATTTGATATAATGGTCACCTCAAAGCGTGTGATTTACCATAAAGTTTAAACTTGTGGGGTAGTGCCCTGGTGCACTTAACAGTTACGGTGCTTGATACTGAGCTGGAAAGAGTGGGGAGGCAAAATGCATGGTCGAAGAGGAAGGTCTTCAGGTGTGATATGAAGATGGGCAAGGAGGAGCAAACCAGAGGGATTGAGGCACAGAGTTCCATAGTTTCAGGGCATAATGGCTGAAGACACAGCTGCCAACAGTGAAACGGAAGGGACAAGGGATGTTGAGAAAGCTGGAGCCAGCTGAGCGCAGGTGTGGAGTTTGGTGTAGATAAGTATACGGGTGGGTTTAAATTAATTGAATTTTATGAATGGAGTTGCTGAGGGGACTGGCAAGGAGGACTGTATTTGTAGGTGAAAGAGGCAGCAAAGTTGTCCACAGCATTGTCCCATAAACAGTCATGGAGTGAATGACCAATTTTATTTTTTGTATTATTGGCCAGGACACTGGGAGAAACTCCTTGCACTTTTCAAATAGTGCTAAGAGATCCTTAACATCCACCTGAAGAAGCAGAAAGGACCTAGATTTAACCTTGAGTATAAAGGACAACCCCTGAAACCATGCAATGCACCTCCAGTACTGCATTGCAGTGTCAGCCTATACTATGAGCAAAAGGATTTAGATTGGTAATGTAATTGGGCAAACACATCATAACTGAAATCAAACAGAAAAATGTCAGGTAATACAGATAGGCTAAAAAATTATTGGACCTAAGTATGCAGTATAATGCTTAGAATCAGGTTACAGCAAGGAGATTTGGAAAGAGACCTGAGAGAAACAGCAGATCCAGGAATTTAAAATCTAATAGAGTGTTAGGATTACAGAGCCAGTGGTTGAACCTTACTTGGAATAATAGGTTGTTTTGGTCATAAAATGATTTGAAAAGGTTATAGAAAGGAGCATTAAGATTAATTCTAAGAAAAGGGAAAGAGGTATGAAGAAAGATTAGAGAAATGTAATTTTCAGAATGTAGCAAGACGAGGATTAAAGCAGACCTTCAGCACAAAAAGTAACAAATGTTACCAATAGTATTTCAAAGGCAAAATAATAGTATAGGAGGATATGAATGAGAATTATTGAAAAATCCATTTAGTCCAGAGTGCAGGAAATACATTGGCAATCCTTTGGAATAATACAGACAGTAGTAACAAAGCAACGGTTTTAGTCACACAGCCTAATACTCAATTTAGCTCCACGTTCCACCTAGCCAAAATAGTTCAGTGACTCATCTATTTCATGATCTAATAATCTTTCCTCCATTGTGTAGTTTCCCTACAACACTGAATTGTGCCTCAGAAACAAAATGATTTCTCTCCTAGGTTTTCAAAGGACTGTGGCCATTGCCGACTCAAACTACAACTGGTTCTATGGGCCTGAGAGCCAGCTTGTGTTTCTGGATACTTACATCATGCGCAATGGTAGCGGCAACTGGCTGGCACAACAGATCAGAAAGAATCGGATTCGGGAAGGACCAGGCACACCAACCAAAGGACAGAGATGGTGCACTCTCCATATTGAATTTCTTTGGTAAGACAAAGGATAACTGATTAAAGAAAGTAATCAGTATTACATTTCATTAGGGAAAGGCCCAAAATAATTCCTAGTAATGCCAATTATAAATAATAATATTAATATTCCTTACATTTGGTATAGCGCCCGTCAGATCAGGAGAACATCACAGAATGTTTCACAGGATATACTGTAAGGTACAGTCACTGTGGGTTTTATGGGAGAATTACTCAGCAAAAAACAAATTTGCATGTAATCCAGTTAAAAAAAACGAGATTAATAACAGTACCAACCTCTAGAGTTCATCAGGGCAGTCAAGCATCAGAGTGGTTTAGGAGCTAATGACAGAGATAGAGAGAGTGCTAGGGCATGAACGAAATAGGCAGATCTGTTGTTAGACAGGCTGGAATAGTTGTAGGCGTGCTCCCTGGCTCCCAATACAACAGCAAGTGCAAATACACTATAGAACTGAAGGGCTGCATGTCTTCATTCCATGTATCTCTACTATTTCCTTGCTTGAGTCTCTTTCCAAGTTGCCTGATCCCAGTTACTATGGGAAATCTTGTTGCTGTAGTGTCTTTGCCCTTGCTGTTGTATTGGGAGTCAAGGAGCAGTGCTACGACTATTCCAGCCTGCCTAACAACAAATTTGCCTATTTCTTCATGCCCTCGCAATCTCCCTATCTCTGTCATTAGCTCCCAAACCACTCTGACGCTCGTCTCCTCTGCTGGACTAACTTGGGCTAACCGCAAGACCCCCTGCTTCCACTGCACTGTCATTAGTGGCCAATCTTTCAGCTACTACGTCCCTAACCTCTGGAACTCCCTTTCCTGAACCCTCTGACTCACCCCTTCTATAATTGCCTTTAACTCCCACTTAAAAACCTACCTCTTTGAATGCATCTTTGTTTTTTTCCCCTTTTATCCCTCCCTTCTCCCTTGCTCGGCAATCTGCCCTGTTCTTGTAAAGTGCTCTGAGACCTGAAGAGTGCTATATAAATGCAAGTTGTTATTAAAAATATAAATAAAGTTTCACTGAACAATTGGAATAAGAATTCCAATGCCATTCTGCACTTCTTTGCTAATTATTGACTTAAAATTCATTTAAGAGCTAAAGAAACCAGGAATGAATTCCTCAAAGCCCAGTAAAATAAACATGGCCACTGTTTGGAATTTAAAAACCTCGAGGGAGAAATCATTCTCCAGAAGAAGTCAGGGGAGAAATTTTTCAGTATTCCCATTAGGACAGGTTTAAAAAACGTGATTTAACTACAGTTTCTGCTCAGTCGACAAACGTTTTCTTTAATTAAACTTGCTGTTAAATAAGAAATGGAATGTAGTTAGGAATACTGTAGTTTACATCCAATAAAGTTGTTGGGAGAGTAAACCAATAATCACATCTAGTGCTCAGAGCTGGAGGCAGCAACAAAGTAGACAATTCGAGGGCAACTTCCGTCATATGATAGGATATTGTGCCCTGTGGCAGGTGGATTGGCAGTAGGAATCCTTTCCGGGAAGCATTGATTCACTGGTTGGAAGATTGTTGAGGAAAGTATTAAAATATGAATGCATAGAATTGTTGAGAACAGTATTGGATTATGAATGTATAGAATGATGCTTTGCAGCTCAGTGACTCAGTCCCTCCCAATTTCCAGATGTCCTAATATCAGTTCTGCAGAGGCGCTGAGTGGAGACAAGGCTCTTTGCCAGAGGAAAGAAAGAAAAACAAGAGGTGTGCCATTATAAACTCCATGTAAGCTGTGGTTGGCAGTTATAGTGACTGGTGGAGAATAAGATGCATTGCCAACCAAGATCAATGTATATACTGACAATTAATACAATGCATTACAGGTTACATTTATATAGCACCTTTCACATCAGAAGGACATCTCAAAAGTGCTTGAATTAAATCATCGCCCCTCAGTTGTCCATATTCTAGCATGTACCTTAGACCTATAATATCATATGATAATTATGTTCCTTTCAAATGTATTTTTTAACTAGGTATGATGCTACTTTAACACCAGTGCCACCTCGAGATTATGGGTTGTCAAAATTGCATTACTTTGAAGACTGGGGAGTTGTAACTTATGGAGGAGCCGTGCCAACAGAAATCAACCGGCCTTTCCTCTCCTTCAAATCTGGTAAACTGGGCGGACGTGCAATATTTGACATTGTTCATCAGAATAAATATTCCCAGTGGATTACAGGTTGGAAGAATTTCAATGCCGGCCATGAACATCCGGATCAGAATTCTTTCACGTTTGCGCCGAATGGGGTTCCTTTCATCACGGAAGCTTTGTATGGACCGAAGTATACTTATCTCAACAACGCTTTAACCTTTTCTCCAGCCACCTCAGAGTCTTGCTTTCCCCCTTGGGAGGGACAGGTGACGGAAGCCTGTAACTCAAAGTGGTTGAAATACAAACATGGGATTTCTGGAAATAGCCACGGACACATTGTTGCAGCTTTGGAGCAAAATGGGGTGGTCTTTATCAGAGGAGAGGCAGTGGGGGCCTACAGCCCGAGCCTGAAGCTGAAGAGCTCCCAAAGGAGTCTTCTGCTTCTGCATCCACAGCTTCTGCTCCTAGTGGATCAAATCCATTTAGAAGAGGACAGCCCCCTTCAGAAAATGAGTGCCTTTTTCCATAACACAGATGTAGGGTTTCAGGCGACGTCCAAAGATGGAATACATGGAGCATTTGTTCAACAGAAGGATGGCCAATATAGAATGTTTTGGATGGATGATCAAGGCAACAGTGAGAAGGGCATGCTGTCATACAAGGTGTATCCTCGTGGCTATCCATACAACGGAACATATTATGTGAACGTTACAACCACGTTGAGGTACCCAATCACCAGAACAGCCTACATCTTCTTTGGGCCTTCTGTAGAGATTCAAAGCTTTACCATTCGGGAGGATTTGGATCGAGTAGATTTATATATAGCAACAAATGATAAAACCTACACAGTTTATCTAATAACTGGGGAGACTCCTATGAAACCACTGTTTGCCATGGTACTAACTGACCGTCAGAAGATCGTGTTTGATAGAGGCTCTGCAGTCAGGACTGATTCACTGAAGGAGGTGGAAAACTATGTGAATGTTGTTGAGGAAAATCTTCAGCACGCAAAGCCAGTCTTTCAGCAGCTGGAAAAGCATATTCTGGCTCGTGTATTCAATACCGACAACTTCAGAAAGACCGCTGAGCGTCTCCTGAAACTGTCTGGCAAAAAGAAGACAGAGGAAGCCATTGAGAAATTATTTTCTATCTCCAGGGCACAAAGTAAGGCGAAAAAAACCAGAAAAGGAAAAAGCGAAGGCGATAAGTTTTCTAACAACCTTCCGGATATTTTTGCACAAATTGAAATGAATGAAAAGAGAGAACGGAAGAAGCTTGTGGAGCAACTGAAAGAAGAATCTGATTCCAATGAGAGGAACGAGGATGTAAGGGAATTCTTTGACTTTAAGGACCTTCCTTATGTGAAACCAGAAAAGGCCATAAACAATAAGGTTGCAAGAAATCGATATGTCAATCCAAGAGCCACTATTCGAAGCACTGCACAGTCCCTTTCAGCTTCCTATACGCGACTCTTTTTAATATTAAATATTGCAACATTCTTCTTCCTGTTAGCATTGCAGCTCATTCGGTTCCAGAAAGCCCCAAGCCTGCACGCCCAAAGATTTCTCTATGCAATACTTTTACTGGACTGCTTTGTACTACTTTGCTTGTACTCATCTTGTTCTCAAGCACAATGCTAGAATAAGGAAGTCCTCTAGTGATCAGTCAAATAAATATGCAATAATATTATCACTTGAAGTACGTTATTGAACATATCAGGATTCTACATACATTTTGACAAAGTATTCTATTGAAAGGAAAAACTAAAAATATGCAGTTTATTGAGCAAAACCCATTGCTTTTAATTTTAGTTTGATTTTCTCCTCCATGCATCGCCAGTATGCATTGTATTTGTGAATGTTTTCTTTATGTCTGTAACTTCTGTCCTGTTTTAATATGATTACCCTGGGAACTGGTGATTGGTTCCATGTTTCACGCCTGCCTAATATCTGGCATGCTGTTCAATCTTGTTTTGTTCACATCTTGTCAAGTCAAATTGTTCTTTTAGTCTAACAAGATCCTTGCCTCCCCATTCGCCCACAAAACACACAGTCACTACACTTTACAGTAAAAACTGTGCCGCTCTTACAACAGCTGGTCTTGCAGCTGGATTGTTCATTTTTTCCATTGTTTCCATGGTCCGTCTGTAAAACATGAACAATATTTGGCATTTCCTAAATGATAAACTGCTTTTTAAAAAATTCTCCCAAAGAAACTGATGACAAATATCACACCACATGTCACAATTTTTACCCCATAGTTTCTTTTCCATCATTGCTACACATGTGGAATGTATGATAGTTTCCACTGGCGGGTGGGTCGATAACCCGAGGACACTGATTTAAAATAGTTGTGAAAAGAAATAGAGGGAAGGTGAGGAGAAATTTTTTCACAAATCGAGTTGTTCGAATCTGGAATGCATTGCCTGAAAAGATGGTGCAAGCTGATTTGATAACAACTTTTAAGATCGAAATAGATAATTATTTCAGGAGAACAAGTTTGCAAGGCTATGGGGAGAGAGTGGGGGTGTGGGATTGATTTGGATAGCTCTTTTCAAAGAGCCGGCACAGACACGATTAACCTCAATAAATCCTCTGTCTCTTATCTTTATGCAGGAGTCAGTTAATATTTTAATTCACTTCACTTTGGACACTCAAGTTCTCCCAAAGTGATTAATTATTAATAAATAATGCTGATTATGTTCAAATCAAGTCTCCAATCTGAGTTGCCTAGAATATATATATGATCCTGTATGTACTATATATACATTATAAGCAGAGAGTGAACACTCATCAGGATTTTGCTGTCATATTTCATTTGGTCCAAATTCACCCAAGAGGAAGGTGTTTTGTACAGTGAGTCTCAAATTGGTGTTTTTCCTTGTTGATGAAGCACTGCACCTAACTGTTTGCTGTGATATACTGTGATCACTTGCCGACCTATGCCTAATACTTTCCCCAATTCGGTAAGCAGGACGTGTTTCTTCAGGGAGAGAATGTGCATTCCATTCTAATCACAGGGAAATTCCCATGTGCAGGTGCAATACAGATGTGGAATTCTCCGGCTGGTTCTGATACCCTCAAGCACGATGATCGGTTTCTGTATATATTAGACACCAGTTGAGAAAAAAAACACGTGCTGTACACATCTGCCTGGCACAATTCTGTTGTGTGTGTGACTGGAGAAAATGTAAATGTAAACCTTTTTGTATTTCAGTGATGCACAATGCTGTGCTAAAAGGAATGCTCTGCAGCCAAATGCATAGAATTTTTAAATCCCACATTTTCCCTATTTCAATCAAAGCATTCTGTTCGATTAAATAAATAATTCAACGTCATCAGAGTCACTCAAGTTCTGCTGAATTGGCCCAGACTCTGCCAGACTAGTCAATTATTTTGAATTTCCACTTGTAAAAAAGGACTGCTTTCTCCTTTTACATGGCCAGACCTGCCCTTTTGTTTTTTGAGACAACATCCAGCTGTGCTATTATATATTTGTGTGATTGTGTTATGTAAGAAGAAAGAACTTAAATTTTTATATTCTCTTATTATGGTATGTCAAAAGCCTGAAAGCAATTCACAAAGTGACAACTATCATTATAGTCATTAGGTATATATAGACAAATTTTGCAGTCATTTTCCGCACAGCAAGATCCCACAAGAAGCCATAAGGTGAATTATCAATTTACCTTGATTTTTGGCCAAGGCACTGGAAGAAAAAAGTCCTTTGCATTTTCAAATGATGTCATAGAATTTTAAAGTTAACCTTGATAACCTGGGTCCTTAGTTTTATTATCTCCTCCAAAGGACCTCCGACAATGCAGTGTTCATCAATAGTTACACAGAGGCTCTTCAGTGTTTAGTATAGTGTAGTTTTCGACTAGACAATGAGGTCAGATTTTTAGGTTAATTGCCTAAAATTCACAGTTGCTACATCTGACAGCAATTCCCTGTGAAGCACTTTAAGACATTATAGGTGCTATATCAAATGCTAGAATTATTATTATTTATCACTAGCTGTACCCGTTACAGTTATGCTAGCAACCAGTTTCATTTAATCAGCCTTCTCTCTTTCGTCTGGCATTTTTATTTGTCCTTGAAAGGCTTGATCTTCGCTTCTTAGGCGTACTTATCCCTTAAGATTAAGAAAATGTGCTATTGAACCTGTTAGCATCCTTGTTTACAAAATTGCAAACATATCCTTTTGGGAGGACTCCTGTGGGAGGACTCAGTGGGAGGATTACTGGTTGGGAGGACTCCTGTTGGTGTCTCTACTTCAATCGGTTAGACAGATACACAGACAGACATTTCATCTTTATTAGTATATGTGTCTTTATGTGTCTCTCTAGAAGGGTGTGTGACCTCTGTCACAGAATACCATGCAATTAAAGCATTTTTTAATATAGCTCATCAACTATAGGAGATCCCTGAATCAAAATATGCCCATGACGCTCCCCCATGCAAAATCTTTCCAACGAGGTATAAATCATGTCTCTACATCATTTGGTTATTGCATTCTTGGTGGACAGATAGACAGACGTTTGTCTTTATTAGTATATATTAGAGTGGAAATAATTATTTGTGTTTCAAGAATTTAACCTACAAAATTCCAGTTACAAACACAATTTGAAATCATTTGAATATGTGCTTAAGCACACCCTCAATCTTTCCCTCTATCAGTCTGGTTATAGCAATGGGCACTGTATCATGATCTCCCGGCATCACGTGATAGCTGGGAAATGAGCTCAGACTTTCAGAAATCAGGAACACAGAGCCTCATTCACTTAGCTACTTGTGTTTAATAATCTATTTCTGGATCCAGCAGAAATTAGGGCTAGCTTCAATGTTTTCCCAATTAAAAAGCTTTCAATTTACAGTGTTTTTGTTGCTGGGAGATATAAAAAATAGATGATTTCGGTCCAAAACAATTTTTCTTGCAACACATATTGTATAACAAGTCGCATAGCATAACAGAAGACAGGGATTATGATGTGTTTTATGAAGGTCTTTTGGAGCATATTTTTATTTCATATTTTTAGCAATTCTCTAGTATTTTGACAAAGAGTCCAATTTCTATCTGTACATATGGTAAAGGAAGCAAGTCTCTACAGCATTTAATGTTAAACTGTCCTGTTTTCAGTCCGTTGCAGGTAAATTCTATGAACTTTCATTCTTCATGCAGAAATCTTTCGAGTTTTCATGGCTAGCATCTTACCTCCAAGTCTGCATCACTTGGTGTACGGGAATTACAGATAATGTGTCCCATGATGGGATCAGATTATTTATATGTATTTGCATGAGAGAGGTCTCTCATGTTGTCAGTGGTCAGCTGACTTTGTCCTCGCTGGTTCAGTGGGCAGAAAGTGTTTCACTTGTATGTAATGAATAATCCCTCACCTCTCTACCAAACATACGTGAAAATATAAAAGCTTCTCCAATCCTACAATCAAAACCAAAATTATGGCATTGAGAGCCAAGCATGTTCCTGGATATTAAAATGACATTCACATCAATCTTTCTGATACTTAAAGATTATAAAGTGAAAGCTCATAATTGTCTGTCTTTTTCTGACTCTGTCTACCTGTCCATCTCTCTTTCTGTCTCTATCTGTCTCTCTATATTTATCTAAACTTCAACATCACCACGATTGAACCCACTTATACTGCTGCGCATTATCTGGCATTATGGAAAACGTTATATCCAATATACTCATCTACACTCACACTCATCTGTTGGAAATTAAATTTGAGGTTCAAAATCTTTTTTCTACATTCACCTCTCCTTGTCTGAAGATGTGGATTAGTGCTCAGTGGCCTTCGGTATCACACCTAACAATAATAATCATTGTATTTGATATATGATGTCATCACATTGTTGAGATGTCTCAAAATGCTTCACAGGATTCACTGTAAAATATAGTGAGTAGGCAAAGGCAAGCGCAGCAGCTAATTTGTATACAGCAATGTCCCTCAAACAGCCATCTCTTTTCATATAGTACCATGGAATCTTTAGCATCCACTTGGACAAGCAGTTTAACATCTCATCTGAAGACAGCAACCCCAGCAATACAGCATATCCTCAGTACTGTAGCTCAGTGGTTAGAGTACTCGCTTTGCAAGCGAGAGACCTGAGTTCAATTCCCGGCAGGGCGAAACCTTGGGCAAGTTTCCTTACTCCACACGCCTAATAATAATCCCTCCAAAACAAAAACAAAAAAAATAATAAATTGATCATTTTCAATCTATGACTGTTTTCAATCTATGAGGTCAGAGCAGGAGGTGAAAAGACATTGTCAGGAGCCAAGGAGGATAGGTTCCATGTTGATCTGGTTCATCAATGAAGGAAGGGAAGACATATAAACACATTAAAAAGACAAATACAGCAATGTGGGAGTTTCAGTTATGAAGAGAGATTTGAGATGTTAAAGCATTTTTCACTGGCATTGAGAAAATCCAAGGGTGATCTGATGAAATGTTTTCAAGAGTTATGATCAGGTGAAAGCTAATTGATTTTTCCACTGCAAGTTGATAATAACAGGATGCAATTTAAGATAATCACAAAAATAAAATGAAGTTAAGAAAATATACAAAAAAATTAAAGTTCACAGGGAACAAGCAGGAGAATATGCTCTTAATAATTTTATAACCAGCACTGATTTTATTCCAATGAAAACAAGTAAATCTTTCTCCACAGCATCAAATCTGAATCAATCTGGCTATCCTCTGTACATTCCAAGTCTATCACTGACGTTTTGAAGCAAATCTTTTTTTGGAAATAAACATAATAGGGGAATTCCGCAAAGATCAGTGAATGTATGAACCTCGCTGGTGTAGGTTTATAATCGGAAATTCCCATTATGATTCACATAATTAATGCTTACTGGAAATGATCTGTGGAAGTTGAGTAACCAACCAATCTGTTCTAAAATGTGTTGCAAGATTTCACTGAATATTTCTGGCAAGAGAATTTCAAAAGCTTATGAAAATTGTCGTGATTTTTCCTATTTCTGAAGGGATATAACAAAGAAAAACTGGGCAGAATTGGAATTTAAGAGCAGAGGTTCCCAAGTGTAATAACGATTCTCACTTACAAATACACAGTCACTACACTATACAGTAAAACTCTGTGAGGCGCTTTGAGACATTCCTGACATTATAGATTTCATTTACAGACATTATGTGGTAATCAGGAATGTGGAGGTTCCAACAGTCCTCGAAGCAAGTAAATGTTGTTCCTTTATTCAAGAAAAGTGGCCAAACTAAACCTGGCAAACAAAGTGACATGCAAGTTCCTTCTCCCGTTGTCACTTGCACTTTAAGAATATTTAAGTCACCGCACACCCTCTTATCTGACCAAGCAGCATGCAGCTCTGACAGGGTGTAACCCTTTCTTCAGAAAAGGTTAACCCATGATTTGGCAAGATAGCTTAATGCTAAGTTATTTTATCCTACAAGTTTACAAAATAGAAATAATTAACAGACAAATATATATAATTGCCGATGATGAGATGAAATGGTATATATAAAGGGACATTACATTAAGTCAAAAGAGTCAGTGGGAGCTTACCTGGCAGTGCTTTCAATGACAAGCTATGGGGTTTCAGCTGGTTAGACTCCACCAGTATTCCAATGCCCACAAAGCCTCGTCTTGGTGTTTGACACCCTATGCCTAATGCTTTTTGGAATTAGGTGAGCATGGTGCCGCCCTCCCAACAGTCCGTTCCAAATACAGGGAAATTTCATTTTGTAAATGTAATACTTGGAACTAGGTTTGGATACATTAAGCATGGTGATATATTTCTGCATGTGTCAAACACTCGGCTGATGAAAAAAATGTGCCATCTAGAACTGGCTACAGTTATGATATCTGGATACCTGAACTTGACTGATTTAGAAATATAGCCCAGCATCCTGTTTGCTTGAGTATAGCTGCTTAACATTGTTTTGACATGGTAAGCAATGGGTTAACTAGCACCCCCAGATTTCTTTCAGGTTCCCTCTTGACAAGTTCAACTCATCCACGGTACATGTGTTTCCTATTCTTATTTCCAATATGTATTTCTTGGCATTTATTTGTATTGAACTCCATTTGACAGTTATCAGCCCTATTAAGCTCTCTTTGTAGAACCTTTGCTATCTCATCTGATTCCACAGTTCTCCCAAGCTTGATGCCATCTCCAAATGTAATTACCTTGCTCTGGGTCTGCAAATCCAGGTCATTTATATGCTCAAGGAATAGAAGGGGTCCCAGTACACTGAGGCACCCATAAACCTGTTTCTCATATTTGGCATAAGCAATTCAGTAATGAATGTAAATGCTTTCCACTGCAAAACAGTTTAAATTACACTTCATAGAAAAACAACTTTCCAAAGTGCTTTGAGATGGTTTTGAGACAAATATGTTATGTTAAATTATTTTTCTCACTATACTATAGTGCTTCTACTCCCATTAGAGCCCTGTAGCCCAGTGGTTAGAGGACTCGCCTTGCAAGCGAGAGACCTGGGTTCGATTCCTGGCAGGACGAAATGTTGGGCAAGTTTCCTTACTCCACACACGTCTGTTTATCCAGCAGTAAGTAGGAACCCGGTTGTTAGTCGATTGGCGGATCGTTTTTCCAGGGGTAATAATTTCTCCAAAAAAAATAATAATAACAAATTGGTCACTTCAATCGATGACTGTTTGTGGGATTCTGCTGTGCGGAACTGTTGCTGTGTTTCACCCGGAAATATACAGTCAATTCAGTGTATCCAGTGAGACATCTCGAAGACAAGATAAGGCATTGTTTCAAATGCAAGGATTATTATTATTGGACTGCAACTTGGATAATGCCTAACAGATCCCAACAAAGCCATGAAAAACGACAAAAAGAATGAGAAGTCTGGCACATCTGACATGCCAGAAGCTGAAGCAATAACCCAAACTGTGCCAGCATCGTCTCACAAACAAAAATGAGAGAAGTCATCAAATGAAAATGTTTGCAGTGAATTTGGAATTGAAGAGAAGTATTGGCCTTTACCCATTACAATTATATTTGTAGAGAAATTATATATGTTCTCAGGGTTGACCTTACAGACCAATATCACTATTATTAACTTCCTGCAAATTGTGTTAACTTGGCTGAATGGAAGCACTTTCACCACTGAGTCAGGAAGTTGTGGGTTCAAGCTGCAAATTGGGACTTGAACTCATCTTGTCAAAGCTGACACTCCAATGCAATGGTGGACATGTGTTGCATTGTTAGAGGTGGCGTCCTGTCCTCTGGATGAGACATTAAACCAATTTCCCATCTTCCTATTCAGGTTGATGTTAAAGATCCCTAGGCACTAAGAGAAGGGAGTTTTTCGTCCGGTGACCTGGGACCAATAAAATTGATATTTACTCTGTGGCTGTTTGTGGGACATTTTGGGATGTCCTCCCAACATGAAGGATGCTATATCAAACACAAGGATTATTATCTCGATGTACTGCAAATGCATCCCTTTTGAACACCTCTCTGCTAGCTGAATAGTGTACAAAGAATAGTTTTCAGTGGACTTTGCTGAGCACTTCCACATGATGGGGGGATGGTTTTGTGCTATTATGTAACATGTTTTATGTGAGAGATAGTTTCCCGAATAACTTTCTGATGTCAAACTCACTATAAAATAATGATTCCAGCAGCACAAGTTGATCGTTACCACACGGTTACCTATATTATGAGAAGGCAGGGATAGAAAGTACTGTCCTGCAAAATTACAATTGTAATTTTATGGACAAGTATCGGTCAGGTGAATGTAGATTTAGGATTGGGACAGGAGAAAATGCAATACGCAGAATAAATATGTGCCAGTTGGTATCACTCTCGCCTTTGCGTGAGAGGTTGTAGGTTCAAGTCCCACACCAGGACTTTGAACTCATATTGTCTCGGCTGACATTCCAGTGCAGTGCTGGATGTGTACTGTATTGTTGGAGGTGCTGTCCTCCGGATGAGGTTTTGTGCATGTTCAGGTGGACATTAAGGATCAAAAAGAGAAGGGAGTTGCTCCTGATGTTCTGGCCAACAATCCCCCAAATAAAATTGGTTGTTCACTTCATGATTCTTTGTGGCATATTGCTGTGCACAAATTGGTTACTCAGTTCACTCATGAAACATACAGTCACTCCACTTGCAGTACATCCGGAGAAGAGATTTCAGATGTCTTCCCAGCATAATCCTATATCAAATATAAGGAGTATTATTATGTGTTTGGGTGAAATTTGTATTTACAAAACCTATATTTGTCTTGCTTTCAGGACCTGGTTTCTTTGAGAATTGAACCTTGAATTTACATTGATACAACAACAACAAAATTACATTTGTAAAGCGCTTTTCACATCGGGAGGATGTCCCAAGGTGCTGAAACCATGTTCATATTTAACCATGATCAGTAATAACTGCTAGATCTCAATATAAACAACAAGATTAATATTAATTTATGTCACCCTCTGTATTATGGTTCGTCTCAATATAAAACCACAAGATACAGTAATTAAATGCCAAGTAGCAATGAGGGAGATTCTAACTCTACAACAGAGGAGAGTGTGGCCCTCTCTAGGGGTGTGCCCACTTTGTGCAGGGCTGGAGCACACAGAAGATCACAACTGATAATCTGACTTGAGAGGCGCTGGAAAGCAGAGTGACTAGAAAATTCAAAGATCCAGGCACCATTCTGACCCTCTCATTTTATTTTCAGTTCACACAGTGACCAGGTGTTTGTCTTTAAGCTTATTGAATGAGAGCCCAGAAGTCAGAGTCTAACTTTCTCTTCCTACCTAATAAGGTAAGAAATGTGTTCTGATCTCCAGTGGGGAAACCCTGGCCTGTTGTTTTTTATAAACAATCATTCTCCTGGCTTATTTTGAAGAATAAATTTAAAAATTGCCCAATCTGCTTTTCAGCTATGTCAGATAGAGAGATTGAGAGCCAGAGCTCAACTAGGCTTGATGTGTTTTCTTTGCAAACATTTATTTTGTTTAAACACTAAGACACATCTTGTACAATTTTCATGTGTAGTAATTAGGTATCATATCACCAATTTTATTCAGATTGCAACTTATCCAATTAACATGCAGATTGAGGTCAGAAATATGCACAAGAGAAAATGAAAGATGGTAATAACAATAATAACACTATAATAATATATGTTAATGTTGGTGTAAAATAATAATCCTTAGATTTGATATCTATAAAATACATTTTATATTTTAAACCTATAAAAGAAACATGTATTTTTGGAAATACATAGCAATATAGCAATAGAGTCCTGTGGCTCAGTGGTTAGAGCACTTGCTTTGCAAGTGAGAGACCTGAGTTCAATTCCAGGCAGATCAGGGCGAAACCTTGGGCAAGTTTCCTTACTCCACACGCCTAATAATAATCCCTCCAAAACAAAAAACAATAATAAATTGGTCATTTTCAATCTACGACTGTTTGTGGGACACTGCTGTGCGCAATTGGCTGCCGCATTCGCCCACAAATATACAGTCAATTCACTTTACAGTGTGTTCTGTGAAGCGCTTTGGGTTGTCCTCCCGACCTGAAAAGTGCTATATCAAATGCAAAGATTATTATTATTACTATTAATAGGAATTTGCTGGCAGTTGTGATTGTGAACTAATTAATTTTACTACATTTAAATGGGATAATTGTTATTTTACTGTTTCGTAATTCCTAACCATAATATAGTATATGATTTAGTTTGGGATAATCCTAAATCGCTTTTATTTTCATTTGTCCAAATTGTGTCTGACTTAAGTGCAATGAAGCATACTGGAAAATGGGGAAAGGCAAATTCATAGTGCCATACACTCCTTTTGCACAAGATTGCTGACAAGAGATAATCCTAGAGGAAGCTCTTTTGCTGAATCTGGCATATATTATTTTTCATAAAATTTCGCTACAGCCGGGTTTTCAGCCTTTCTGCCCCAATCTATAAAACCCTCTCCTTAAGTCCTTCCAACTTGCTCCTTGACTCAGCTTATTCTAGGCCCCTCTCAAGACCTATTTCTTTGGCCTTGCTTTCATTCGTCTTTCCCCTCCTGATCTCATAGTTCTCCCTACAGCTCGTGTGCCAAGCCAGTATTTTGTTAAGCAGCTTGGGATGTCCTCCTGACTCAGGATGAAAGGCGCTGTATACATTTAAATTTATATTGTAAGATTTCATAAGAACATAACTTAAAGGATTTGAAATAGAAGTCACTGCAAAGTTATTATTGAAGACAACAATCGTAAATAATTTCATTTTTCTGCAATTGGAAGTTTGGAAATCATTGAACCACACTGTGAATGCAATGCGAACTTTGTGTAAGAGAGTAATTCAATTATTACTATAATAATTATTATAATTAGGGAGGAGGTCCCAAAGCACTTCACAAGATTTGCTATGAAGTGTACTGGATGCAAATTTGTAGACGAATATCATAGCCCCATTATGGGAAACAATGTCCAACAAACAGCGAGAAACTCCCTTCGCTTTTCGAGAAGTGTCATAGCATCTTTAACATCCACTTGAATAGGCAGACGTCCTGGGACCTCAGTTTAATGTCTCATCCGGACAGAAAATCCAAAATGCAACACAAAGACTAAATGCAAAATGATCTAGAATCCAGTAATTTATGTGTGTATGTGTGTGCGTATGTGAAGCTGATAATGAGGAGTTGCTTCTTAGCAACGCATGTGATGTGGGTTACCAGCACAGATGTTCTATGAGATTAACATTTAGCAACCTATTTGATAGCAGCCTAGTAAACAGTAAACACCTAGGAGCTACCGATCATTTTATAATTAGATTTGATTTTATTGTTAATGCTAGGACCAAAACCAACAATAATTCAGAAAAGCATGTTTTGCAAGCTTGAGAAAGCATCAAGGAAAATTGTTTGAAAGCCAAATTCAAAGATACAGCAGAAAATAACTTGGAGTTAAGATTTTGTAGAAGACATAAGGAAAGAAGTATATTGTTTTTCTAAAAGGAAAATGTATGGAAAGGTAAAGATTAATGCAAGGTGTACTTTATTAAATGTAGAAAGTAATGTTTATAACAGGAATAAATGTTCTTGGTTGAGTAGTCTGAGGTAAAATACCAGACCAATACAATAACAACCAAATTACATTTATGTAGAAAGGATGTCCCAAGGAGCTGAACTATTTGCATGTATAACAACAACAAATTTCACTTATGTAGCGCCTTTCACAGCAGGAAGATGTCTCAAAGCACTTTACATAACTGAGTGGCCACCTGAGCTGAGGGGACAGGGACAGAGATGGGGGGGTGCGGTGGGAGGTGGCAGAAAGTAGATGACCGGAAGTGGTCTTCTGTTTAATTGCTCTATGGAACTTCACTTATTTTACTTATTTTCTATTTATTAGTATTATTATTTATAATATATATAATTATATATATATATACACAACAGTATACTCTGTGAAACTCTGTGAAACATCCCAAAGACGTGTTAATGCAAAGATTATTATTATATCTTATTGTTAAACTGACCTCTCCAGCCCTAATAAGCTGACAACTTAAGGTTCTTTGTTTCGTCTACCCACAAGCCAATTTATCTTAACCAACATTAATCCCTTCCATGCAGTTGAGTTTTCAATAACAATTGCTTTGAATGCTAACGCTAACTTTATTGGAGATTTAATAACAGTTTCAGGCAGTGTACTCATCCAACATCCCCAAAAAATACTTCAACACATTGTTCAATAATTCAGAATTTTCAGGAACTTTGTCCAGTTCCATATTGAAACTGCTTATTGTTCCTTCTTTTACAATCATTGCAGTTAGTTTGTTCAACATCCTTTTATTAAAAATAAATCCCTGCACTTGCTGTTCCTCTTTTGTTGCATGTTTGTGTCAGCCTAGCACAGTGGCAGCACTCTAACTTTTTGTGTCAGAAGGATGTGGGTTCAAGTCCCATGTCACGACTTGGAATTAAGTAGTCTTACATACACTGTTATGCGGCCTGGCGGGGGCATTTTGGGGGGAGCACTGTTGGAGGTGCTATCCTTTGGATGAGATGATAAACCAAGACTCCGTCTGCCTGTTCATTCCATTGCACTATTTGAAAAGAGGAGGGAGTTTCACCCAGTGTCCTAACTAACAATCCCCCAAATAAAATTGGTCACCCACTCCATGGCTGTTTGTGGGACACTGCTGTGCACACTGGCTGCAGTATTTCACTCACAAAATACGCAGTCAAAAAATACTTTGCAGTAAATACTGTGAAGCGCTTTGAGATGTCTCAATCACAAAAACAAATGACATGTGTATCGCGCCTTTCACGTCAAGAGGACGTCCCAAAGCGTCTCGACCGCATGAAAGGCACAACATCAAATACAAGGATTATTATCAGTTTCTTGAGTTTTCTACAAGGCAGAAAACTGTATCAACATCTAAATGTACCTCATTCTATTGTTTTAAACACCACTATCAAGTACCTGCCAGTCTTCTTGTTTCAAGTGCAAAAAATCCTAGCGTGGCTATGCTTTCCTCATTGCTTTGAACCTTAATCTTAAACCACTGAATATCTTTTAGTAAATAGAAAGGCCAAAGCTGTACAAACAACAACAACAACAAGATTACATTTGTATAGCGCTTTTCACGTCGGGAGGACATCCCAAGGCGCTGGACAGAGAACAGCACTTCAGACCTGAGCTGGGGCCGGGGGGGGGGGATAAGGGAGGGGAGGGGAAGGGGGTTGGCCGATGGCATGGTCGAAGAGGAGGGTCTTGAGGCAGGACTTGAAGGAGGCAAATGAGAGGGTGAGGCGGAGTAACTGGGGGATGGAATTCCAGAGGTTGGGGGCAGAATGGCTGAAGGTTCTCCCGCCAATGGTGGGGCGGGTGGGTCGGGCGACGTGGAGCAGGCCAGAGCCGGCTGAGTGGAGGGAATGAGCGGGTTGGTAGGGGGTTAGGAGGTCGCAGAGGTAGGGTGGGGCAAGACCATTGAGGGCTTTGTAGGTGTGAACCAGGATTTTGAACTGGATCCTCTGAAGGATAGGGAGCCAATGGACTCGGGCGAGAATGGGGAAGATGGGGTCACGGAGTTTGGTGCGGGAGAGGACATGGGCTGCAGAGTTCTGGATTATCTGCAGCCTGTGGAGGGAGGAGTTGGGAAGGCCGACAAGCAGGCCATTTGCATAGTCGAGCCTGGAGGTGATGAAGGCTCCAAGAGTTTCAGCTTCCTGAGGGGTGAGGAGGTGGGGGAGTCGGGTGATGTTACGGAGGTGACGGAAGGCAGAGCGGGTATTCAGGAGGGCCTCAGTCTTGTTCACATTCAACTGGAGGAAATTTGCCCTCATCCAGGACTTGATGTCCGACAGGCAGTCTGTCAGGACAACAGTGGTCCTGGAGTTGAGGGTGGAGGCAGAAAGATAGAGTTGGGTGTCATCCGCATACATGTGGAAGTTGACCTCATGTCTGCGGATGATGGCACCAAGGGGGAGCATGTAGATATTAAAGAGGAGAGGGCCCATGACATAGCCCTGGGAGATGCCAGATGTGACAGTGCGGGGGCTGGAGGAGAAACCGTTAGAGGCAACGAAGTGGAGACGGTGAGAGAGATAGGAATCAAACCAGGCAAGAGCAGGTCTGTGAAGACTGAGTAAAGTGGAGAGGCAGTGTATGAGGATGGAGTGATCGACAATGATGAAGGTGGCAGAGGGGTCAAGGAGGACAAGGCACTCCGGATCATGGTCTCACTGAGACTGGATATAATTTTACAATCACTTCTTCAAACGCTGGACAAGCTAATATTTTGTGAACATTTTGTTTTGTAGATTTGATGCAGAATGTCAGAGGTGACCCAGTTTTTCTTTCTGACTGCAATTGATGTCTTCTACTCAGGCGCTGGTAGTCTGTAAATGCTTGACTTTTGATGTCTCAAATACATTTTTGGGCTTCTTCCTAATATAAAACTCACAGTTCCCAGCCATGATAAGGTGTAAGTAACTGAATTGTTGGTATACCTTCTTGGCTATGCGGTGTGATATGAGCCTTTTTTTTAATAGTCAGAAACAAAGCTCTAGAAAGCTAAATTGTCCTGTATCTCACCCACTTTCATCGAGGTGTCTTAAAGCACTTCACAGTATAAGTCACTATATCAAATGCAAGGATTATTATTATATGCTTTTATTGAGCTGTAAATCAGAGAAAATTCATGGAAAGTTTGAATTCTCAGAGAACTTGTAAATATATAGCAAAAAGTAAATTGTTCATGAAGGTTTTCCAATATCTGCTGCTACAAGCATACTCTCAGCCACAAATGATCCTCTGTAAAATTCACATCTGATTTTGCTACAGATATTTTTGGGCTTCTTCCTGATGTAAAACTCACTATCCCTAGCCATGACAAGATCTAACTAACTTTCTTGTTGTTGTGCCTTCTCGGCTATGCAGTGCAATATGAACCTTTTCTTATTGGCCAGTAACAAAGCTATGGAAAGCTCATTTGTCCTGTATCTTGCCCATTTTCAGTAAGGCTTTTTATACCTTCTACAGAGATAGAAATGCTAGGAGGGGCTATCTCCAACATTCTGCCCATGTTTACGCACCTCAATATTGTTGCTAAAATTAGTGACCAGAGGAAGGTCAGTCCCAGTGACTTTTTGGAAGTAATTAAATAATAATAATAATAATAATAATCCTGGCATTTGATATAGCGCTTTTCACGTCGGGAGGACGTCCCAAAGCACTTCACAGAGTAATAATAATAATAATCCTTGCATTTGATATAGCGCTTTTCACGTCAGGAGGACGTCCCAAAGCGCTTCACAGAACACACTGTAAAGTGATTTAACTGTATATTTGTGGGCGAACGCGGCAGCCAATTGCGCACAGCAGTGTCCCACAAACAGTCGTAGATTGAAAATGACCAATTTATTATTGTTTTTTTGGGGGGGTTTGGAGGGATTATTATTAAACATCCCAAAATACTCTGTAAAGTGCTTTAGGAGATTTCTCTAGATGAAATGTGCTTCTGTACATTAATTTAAGTTTTTTGTGTCTTGCTGTTGCTGTTGGAGGTTGTTTTAAAACCATGTAAGACATTTAAATGTGGTTTCACCAATACGGTCAAAACTTTCCATTCATAAGAAAATGTATCTGAAAACTGCATACATTGTTCACTTAGTCCATTGAGGGCCAAGACAGGAACTATGCTATGTAGTTCTACTTTGTGCCTGGAATGCTACACGCTATTAGTTGGCGAACCACAATAAGCTTTCTTACTTGCGGAGAGTCGCATGTGGAAGCAATTGAAGGCAGGAACTTTGGCAGCTGGTATGCACGCTGCAGTTCATTTTATTTATTCTAATTAGATCTGGTTTCAATTTCAGCTGCCTTTTGATAAGTGGCCAGCAGAACACTCTGATGTACATTATATATTGAACGTCTCAGAACATTTACTCTCAGAAAGGAAGTTGCATCGAAAAACATCAGCTCCTAGCAGGCAAATTGCAAAGATGGAAAAATTTAGGTTGCTGCAGAATATAGTTGTGAAACAGCATACAACCCTAGGGTATGGATTTTTGGCCTTAGCAACAGCTGGGGGAGAACAATTGTTCAACGTTATTGTCTTCAATTGTCCCTGTAACTCATGGAATTTTGCCTACAGCTTGACTTTTCTTCTTGTCCCAGCTCTTGTATTATTTTTACTGGGATATTATTTAAGCAGCAGAACCTGGAAACTATTTACAAGCTGCTGCTTTCACACAGCGAAACAATGCCCTAAAAGAGTCTTCTGTCGTGGTCTAAAGGTTTTCTCGCAAATCACAATGGGAGCCTTAGTTGCTCCAGTGACATGGATCTCAGTTGCTTTGCTGAACGGGACTTTCTACGAATGTGGTATGAGTGGGTACAGCAGTGACTTATTAACACAGAGGCTCTGTGGTAAATCCACGAGCTGCCAGTTAAATCTTGTAAAACTGCCATGTGGTCAGACTTCTACATCTCCATCTAACCAGGATGAATTTATTTTTGTACTTCGTGCACAGTCCCAGGTAAGAAATGCAGGAACGACATTTACTTTTGTTATGTGCAAATTATTATCAGATTGTGCTGCAGTTCTGCTTTTAAATAATAATAATAATGATGAAACAAAACAAAAGGCAGAGTATATTATTATATAATAATAATCCTTGCATTTGATATAGCGCCTTATCGCAACATTGAGATGTCTCAATAAAATTATACTGTGTATGTATAATAATAATCCTTGCATTTGATATAGAGCCTTATCATGTCTTCAAGACATCTCAAAGTGCTTCACAGAATATACTGTAAAGTAAATTGACTGTATATTTGGTGGGTGAATATACAAAACCCAGGTTCGGATGATGTGAATATTAACATAAAAGGTGAACACATGTCTCAACTTGTCCCTTGACAGAGTAGGGTGGGATTACTCAAGAATTCTTTCCTGCCTCTGATAACATTGGATAGAAATTTACTGTACATTGCATCATCCTCTAAATCTGATCCAAAGTGATTCACACTGAGTCACCGTTGAAATGAATGAATCGATATCACATTGCAGCTTCTTAGCACAAACATTGTCATAAATGTAAATAAAGCTTTTTTTAATCTGAACAGTAGTGAATTTGATTCATAATAATAATAAAATAATAATGTTTACATTTGGTGTAGTGCTTTCACCTCGGGAAGATATTCCAAAGTGCTTCACAGGATATACTGCAATGTGCGGTGACTGTATTTTTTGTGGGTCAATGCCCACAACATTGACATTGAATTATATTATATTGTAATTAATTATCCACATAGAAATCATGCAGCGAATGCTTACTCAGAAGCTAGTAAATAATGTAAAGATTGATATCTCAAAGTACCCTGCAAGATTTTCAAATGGATTCCAACAGCAACAATATAAACTTGTATGTATATAGCGTCCTTCACGTGGGGTAGGAATTAGTTCTTAATAGTGGCAAAGTTTGACGCCAAGTCAGGGACAGAGGAGTGGTGACCATAGGCACTGGCAGAAAGGAAAGTGTTCAGGTATGATTCAAAGACAGGCAAAGAGGGGGAAAGGCGAATGGATTGATGCAGGGAGCTCAAGAAGGTCAGGGCATAGTGTCTGAATGCACAGCCACTATTTGTGGACACAGCAATTGAGGGATATGCAGAATGCCAGAGCCAGCCAAGCAAGGAGGGCAGGTAGAGAAGTGGGTTGTGGTCAAAGAAGTATGGAGGTTTCTAATTGAATTCATATCTGTCATTACAGAGTAATATTCTACATAACAAATTAATGGTTAATATAAATTTTGGGTGTAACAATCATCTTTGTCTTCTTAGTTTTATACACATCTTAAACTCAGACTGGCAGTGAAGGACAATTTAAACTGCAATTTATGTGCCTACTCTTCATACTACAATATAATCCTCTGAGGCGCTTTGAGACGTCCTCCTGATGTGAAATTTGCTAAACCAAATGCAAGGATTATTCTAGGATTATTTTGTGACTATAAATTAAAATTTCTGTGTATCTCACATGACACAGACTGATTGTAGAAGTGGGATCAGTTATTTACAGACACATGGAATCCCTTAGCAACAATTCAAGGTTGTGAATGGGGACTTCTGGTAACCAACCCAACAAATAGGAGCTCTGCTTCAATCTGTATCCAGAGCTCAGCTCCAACTGGACACATACTTCCAGATTGAGGAAAGACTGCCCATTTATGACCCAGAATTATCCTTAATGAATCTTGTAAGAAACGGCACAATTTATGGTGCAGACCTCTATCTTACAGGTTTGGAGGTCTATTCTAACCTCATTGGGAAAGGAGACAAAAAGCACACTATGACCATATACTGTTAGCAGGTCTGAATGGCATTCCTGCCTCAGTCAAGCGGGAGAGGTGGCACGGTTTTATGATGAATATATAGTGAAGAATATGTGCATCAGCGTCAGTAATGTAAGAGGAAATATTAAACTATTTGGGTGTTTCTCGGTATTGTAAGATATTTCTTCTTTTTCTTACACCTCAAGACTGAAACTCCTTAGTTCCCTCAACTCTTCACTACCTCCTAAGATGTTAAGCCTTTTAAAATCTAAACTTGGGGTCACTTCACCACTTCTTACTTTGATTCTTTTGTGCTCTTTTCTGCTCTATTGAGGTTAAGGTGGTTTCCCACACCACAGACCTTGGCTCTTCAGCCAAGCTTCTCCACTTAAAACTGGGAAGCACCTAACATCAGAATTGTCGTAGACTGAATGCAAAGTGTGTTAACACAATATGATGTACATTTATATCTCTTAACTTTTTCTACGTGCAGGTGTTAGGTTGGGGCCTCATAGCAACCATCATGGTGTTTGGCCTGGCCAGTACCTGTATTCAGCGTTGTTGCTCTCCCATCAGCTTCCTTCAGTTACAGTTTTGGAAAACATACAAGGAAAAAGAGAATGAGCTGCTGGAGAGGAAATCGGCAGAGCATGCCACAGAACTGGCTGAGAGAAATCTGAAGAGCTTTTTCGAGTGTGTGGAACTGAAGGAGATTAAAACCCCAAGTAGAAAAGCATGGGAAGAGATTTCTCTGCTCTACTCCTTCAGCAACACTGAGGAGTATTATAGCACAATACACAAGTATGTGGAGAAGAAGACTGTGGAAGATATCGTGCCATCAAGCTCCACTGTGCACCTGGTACTGGATTTTGTGGATTCTGGTGCTGAAAGTGGTGGTGGCTCTGCAGACACCCACGTTTGAAACCATACAGCAAACTGAGCCTAGGCTTTGTTTGCTGCCAGAATGAGTAGCATTGATGTGCTTGCATAAGAAAACTATTTACAGCTATTCCTGCCTATGAAACCAATAACCATGCTTGACAGTAAATACTAGTTGAAGGGCTCTGAGATGTTTCAGACACTTCTGCTCTCTGGAACCCTCTTCTTAAATGTTTTTCTTTTACCTCCATTCCCTTCCTAAGTGCTTTCAAAACCTATTTGACTGTGCATTCGGCCATCACCATCCTATCCCCTGCCCCCTATCTCTCACTTTCTCTTATCTTTATTATAATAATAATCCTTGCATTTGATATAGCGCTTTTCACGTCTTCTAGACATCTCAAAGCGCTTCACAGAATATACTGTAAAGTGAATTGACTATATTTGTGGGCAAAAACGCTTTGAGATGTTTTCTATCTTTCTACTGTATGTTTTCTTATCTCTCATTCACTTTCTTTATAAAACTCTTTAAGATGTTTTCTTGTGTGAAAAGCTCTGTAAAAGTACGTTCTTGTATTTACACTTCTAAGTGCTCCGAGATGCCACCTGGCGTGGAGGGCGCTATATAAGAGCAAGGTGTTGTTGTTGTTTTATTGTTTAAAGCAATGGCACCTTCATGAAAGGTTTTCAGATTTAATTTATAACATTTGGTAAACTAAAAGCTTCAAGGAGGTGTATTTTTCTATCTTTCCATACAAAAAAAAGGTGGAAAGATGATAATGGGAGCACACTACATTACAGAACCTTGAGTACTGAGCTGAGATACAATTTAGAAAGGACCATGTCTGTGATGTGTGTTAACAATCATGAAGGAAACAAGCTCTAGAGAATTGTGAGGATCTGTAAGGAATTGAGAATTGTAAGGAATTGTCTTTGTGATGAAGTGTTGGGAATACCTTTTTAATTTGTTTCTAAACACAATGTAATGGGTGTGTTTCATATCAAAGTGCAGCATTCGTTAATTGTGACAGAAATGAAAATCAGACAAAGTTTCCAGCCCCTCAGATGAGAAAAGTTTGTCCAAACACTTTTTCCACAATGAACGGCGAAGAATCTGGCAACAGTCACAAATAGCCACAATGGAGGCTAGTTAAACATTATTTTCCAACGAAACAAGAGTCCACAAACTCACCACTTGTGTTTATCTGCTCTTCATTATCTCCCCTGACTTCTACAAACAAGCATCTCTTCGTCTTTGTGCACATTATCTTTAGTTCTGACAGCACCCAGCCAGCTTGATCCCAGCATGACTCGAATGTACCTTAAACTGTCAGGAAATTACCTGGATCAATTTATACATTTCCATATTCGAGGGAGGGGAATTACAATTGGAATTTGTAAACTCAACGTCGGTAAATTTACCAACAAATGGAGAATAATATGTGATTAGTGTGTTTTAGTAAAGAGCAGAACATAACTGCCCTCATTTCTCAGCGATCTGTCCTAAAGGGGCAATGTAACAGTAAATGAAGGAGCCTATTACAAGTCTAATCAGTTTGCAGCCACAATAGGTCCAAAAATAAGAATGCACCTTTTCTTGCACTTTTTAATCTCTCGGCTGATAAATTAATTTCCATATTGAAAAAGATTTTTAAAAGTTTATATATATTATTTTATCTGTTTTTTTAATATAGAAGTATATAAAAATATTATTTTATAGATTCAAGTATTTATAAACATTTTAAGTGTTATAGCTCACTATATAAAGCAAAGAAAATGTTATTCAGAGAGAAATGCCCACATTTTTATTCTGCAAAATACGTATCAATTTCTCATTTTATGAGGAGTTTGTGCTTATCTCGTGATACTAATTTAATCACATGATTATGTTCAGAATTAACGAATACTCGTGTTTTTTATAGGGCCACTCAATGGTCTGTTAGACAGCAAGTTAAATATTAGAAAGTGAGCGAAACTAAAAGGATTCATACAACTCATTTACAAATGTCATTCTTTGCATTCTCAGCTCTAACCTTCTATGCTGCTATCACATTTTTTTAGTGTTATTAATGTAATTCCTTAGAAGTTAAAAGTAAAAGCTAAGTGACTAGATGTTTATTGAGATGTGAAATGAAAGATTTCCCTGCTAGTTTTAGCAATGCACAGCTTGCTTTACATTCGGGATGTTTAATTGCTGCTTATTCATATATGAATGTATAGAAATTATAATGAAAGTTGAAGACAGTGCATGTTTCATTCAATGTAACAAAATGCATACTATGCTATTTTAAATGATTATATACAATATAATCTATTATATTTTAATATATTGCAAATAAAGTAATTTGAATATTTTATGACTATTCATTTCAAATATCTGTAATGTCACAGTTGCTTGACAGCTAATATGTGCTTTAACATGTAGTATTATGGGATGTTGAGATAAAGATTCACTATTGTAATTCCCTATTCCCTTTACGCTTTTGTTTCACTGCAACAAGAGAATGGAGAAGAAACACAAAACCTTCTTCCGGTGAAACACAACCCTCACTTTGATTAAATGCACTATCCTCTTTATAGTTTGGGACTAACAATACAAGCCCATTCTCAATTAGGAGCCAAATTAATATTACAACAGATTGCGTGCATCATAACAAAAAGACTTTGTGTTTATGAATCACATTTCCAGTAATACTGTGTTTAATGGCCATACCTTTTATATTAGCAAATAATAATATAATAATAATAACCATTATTATGTTAGTAAATGTGGCGAAAGAGAAAGATAAACGATAATAATAATGAGTGAATTTACAAATCACTTGCTAGAAGCAATTACTGCTTAGAGCACAGACATAGACACAACACGACAAACTGCACTTTACAAAAAGTAATCTCAATTGCACTTCACAAGATTGATTTGCACTTCAGCCCATCTGATCTCATCCCTCCCAGAATACATAACCTATCATCCCCCATCACAGCAGCAGGCTGCTTTTTAAATGAGTCCAGTGTCCTGGCTCCACCATCTTTTTGACAGCTTATTCCAGTTGTTAATTACCCTCTAAATAAAGTAAAATTCTTGGGATCTGTCCTAAAATTATCCTTATCCTAAAATCTATATTCTTTTTTGCTCTGTTGCATCCTAATGTAGTGTTTTAGTTTTACTTTTTCAATCTCATTTAAAATTTTGCACACAACTATGAGATCCTCTCTGAGTTGTCTTCTCGCAAGACTGAAGAGCTCTAACTTGTTGCTCATAGTAGCTCATTCCTCTAACACTGGGGAGCATCCTCATTGCTCTCCTCTGCACTGCCTCTAGTGCCTGGACAACCCCCTTGTGTCATGATCAGAACTGTGTGCAGTAACTTCAATGAGCATTCTCAGTTTGGTGGGTTTAATAGTTTAGTTAATGTATTTTTTACCACCAAGTTGATCTGCTGCAACATAGTAACTTTGCTTAGCAACAACTTCAGACATGGTTTACCAATCTAACTTCCCAAGACTCCTTTTGTACAATCATGCATGAACTACAACGCAGGATACCAAAGGGAACAAATATGAGGCATCTATTCTTTTTTTATTATAATCCATTAGTCATATTTTATAGGATTTATTTTGTATATACCACTAACTGCTTTTACCACATTCACTTAGAAGCATTAACTAATAGCACTCGGTCACTGTAGCTGCATGTGGCTATCTTAAAGCTGAGTGATGTCTGAGCAGAAGTAGTCAGATTTGTTTCTATTTTATAAGCTGCATCAATTTCATGCAGAAAGATTTTGGCCTGCGGGAACATTGTTGGTTCTAACCTATTGATCCACCAAAATGCTAAGCTTAACTGAGGCTGAATAGGTGATGAAATTCCTCAGTCTATGTTTACAACAACAACAAGATCACATTTGTATAGCACCTTTCACGTCGGGAGGAAGTGCCAAGGCGCTGATTCTATTTATAGAAAATTTAGAGCCCTAATTTTGCAGCTGTACATTTCTTTTAAGAACAACAGAAAAACGGCTTCAAAGTTAACACTGAATTCACCAATGTACCAAATTTTGGAAACTCTGAAACAAAAAATCTAAATCTACACCCAAGTGTATTCTCTCCAATAGAGTTTTTATGCCCTGTTTGGGATTTGTGTTGTTCACAGTTAGTCCTATACAGTATTGATTTGCACTATTGAGAGTTTATAGAAATTGTTCAGACACTAATTCATTGTTCACAACTCAATATCTCAAATATTGCGCATCATGTTTTATATTAGTTACAAACTGTGCCTGAAATGCTGTTCTGAAGGATGATTAAAAGCTTCACAGGATTTGATGATATGACACTGAAATTCATACACAGGGCATATTGGATACAACTGACTCTATCAGTGCAGTAAAATGACACATGAGTTTGTTTTAAATATCACCATAAACTTCAATCTATTGTTGCTCTTTCCCAGCTTGGCGAATCTCAGCATGTCTTCTGATGAACTTAATTCTTATTTCGGTTACTTTGTCACCTTTCAGTGAATCCTGAGCAAACCAGACATCCACCTCCAGGCAAACCTAGGAATATAGGAAATGTTGCATCAGTACACGTCTATCAATTAACTATTGCTTTACCTGTTAGAATGTTCATGTGATTAAATATTCTAAATGGTAAATAATAATTTAGTAATTACTGCAAGTAGGTTTTAACTCTGTATAAAACTACTGTTTCTTCTTCCATAAATTAAATGAACAAATCCCTATTGTATTGTCTAATATGAATTAACTAATTGGACAGAGTGACATTTTCTGCATCCAACATTTAATGAGCAGTGAACTCATGAGACAAAGAATGCATTTGAATATTCAATGGTTCCCTGCTGACATTTATTTTAGAAGCAGGACTTTTTCAACACTGGCAGGAGGTTATCTACTTAAAGTAAAAACATCCACTCGTAATTTAATGGATTCTACTTCTTAAAGGTACAAACTTGCATAGTGGAATCAACAAGCAGAATGCTATTCTCTCCTTAAAAGATGGAAAGTAGTAGTGTATAAGCAGTAGTGTTCAAACAATAATGTAGAGGAAGAACTAATCCCTTGGAAGATTGATGAAATAATATTTTCAATTTATGCATAATACTACAGGACTCACAATACATAATTTGAGAGATTTTCTTAAAGAATGCAAAGTGGTGATTAATTATTTTGAGAGGAGTTCAAAGAGCTGGTTTTGTTTTGAACCACTTTCTGTTTAGATGATGAAGTTATTATCCATCATTCCTCCAATCTGTCTTCATAATTTATCTCCTTAAAACCTGTAGAATAAGCTTAGCAAGGAAGGAGTGCACTCTCCTGTCATGCATACCATTTCCAGTGCTCCCCTCAGGATTCCACAGATCAGATTTGAGTAGAACAAAGAGGTGTGCTTGACAGGCATCTCCACAGAGCCCACCAGTGGATTTGTCTCCAGGAACAGAGAGCACTCATCTCCAATGAAGTTCCAGAAGGACACACTCGGTGTCACTCCAAGGTACATCTTGAAAGCAACCTGAGTCAACAAGAAAGAGTAACCATATAATATTTGTTCCTTTTTACCATTGTAAAACCTTGGGCAAGTTTCCTTACTCCACACAGAGCCCTAATAATAATCCCTCCAAAACAAAAACAATAATAAATTGGTCATTTTCAATCCACGACTGTTTGTGGGACATTGCTGTGCGCAATTGGCTGCCGCGTTCGCCCACAAATATACAGTCACTTCACTTTACAGTGTGTTCTGCGAAGCGCTTTGGGACGTCCTCCTGACGTGAAAAGCGCTATATCAAATGCAAAGATTATTATTATTATTATTGTATAACCAGATAATTCCTCTCCAGTGTCTTGATTCTCATTGTGATTATCCTGAAGTGGTAAAGTGCTTCCTCCATCAATCGAAGACATGTTAGTCTGAGAGCCTGAGAACCATGAACCACAGGAATATGAGGCTCCGAGATATTACCCTGCATGTGGGGTGCTATATAATTGTAAATTGTATTGTATCATGTATTTTTAATCTCACTTCTCTGTTCTTTCTCTGCATTCTAACATACCCTTCCTTCTTAGGAATCTATCTGTGTATCTTTAAAACATCAGAGTTGGTTCTGCGTTTATAGCATTCTGCAGTCTGGCTTGTACAAATCACCAATACACGCTATCTGGGGACACACATGAAAAGTGGCCACTTAGACTGAGTATCAGCTGTGAAACTTCACCATGGTATTTGACATCTAACAGAGGAGTGGTAAAGAAAGAAAATCAGGAGGAAAGTTAATGGACATAAGCCAGACACTGAGAAACTGAGTAAACATAATTAATCTGATCAGTCAGTTATATAACAAGATTACATTATAACACATTACATCTGTGTTTTTACTATAACTAATAATAATAATAATCCTCGCATTTGATATAACACCTTATCACGTCTTCGAAACGTCTCAAAGCACTTCACAGAATATACTGTAAAGTGAATTGACTGTATATTTTGTGGGCGAAACGCGGCAGCCAATTGTGCACAACAGTGTCCCACAAACAGTCTGCAATGATGCACTGCATTGATTGAGTTAATTATTAAATCAACACATTGAGCCATCGGATTATGAAACTGATCTCACCATCCATTAATATCTGGTCTGATCTAACTTACGAAGAATAATAATCTGTGTATTCCATTACCTTGGCAATGACTTGTACTGTTTCGTGAAAACTATGACATCGTTCAATGTTTGATCGAGCCAGAAAATCGTCTATCAGCCTCACACCAATATTATATCCCCTTAGTAATAAAAAAGAACAAGTAAGATACCAAAATAGAATCTTAAAGGAAAGTAGCTCACATTTTCCTAATGGGGTTATGTATAACAGAATGAATACTTGTTTTTAACAGACACTAGCTGGTAAAATACTTCCATTGTCATGTAATAGGCTGGTTTATAATCCTTGCATTTGATATAGCGCTTTTCACGTCTTCTTAACATCTCAGTGTAGCCTTGTCAGTGAGTAGGTGATTTAGACTGCAAATTTAATAGCTATAGAAAGACTTGTATAAAATCATGAGTATTAAATGATTAATGTTCAAATTGTGACTTTTTACCTCAATTGATGATAAACCAAAAAGGATTCTTTAAAGTGTTTGACAACAACTGAACAGCTGTATACAATAATGCACAATAACCTTTTAAAAGAGTCCCATTTCTTTATTTTAAAATTAAGTCAGCAAAACTAAGAGCAAATTAAATCTCCAATTTAAAACAAATTGACAGGAAGATACTGTCTATGAGAGGATGTGTATTAAATACTAAAATGATGATAAATGGTGATATTCTGTAGTCTGACTGCAAATGATTGTCTGCAGTGTTTTAGCTTGCTCCAGAAAAACTACAACTCTGAAATTGCACCTTGTAGCACAATGAAACATGGAAGGTTTGAAAACTGGGGCCCTTTAAGCCTATGTATTACATGAATGGTATGTGTGCAGGTAAGCATTCAACATCATGTAGTGTGTATTCTCCTCAAATATAAATACATATAAATATTATATAAATATAATATACCGCATCCGATTTGTTCTGGTAGAAGTGTTTTTATTGGATAAATTCATAAATTCCTTTGAAGATTTATATTTAGTTGTAGTCCCATATTAACTAAAATGTTCTCTTGAATGTTCTATTTTCCATTTAGGTACAATGATACCTGGTGCAGTTGTGCTCACGTGATGTGTATTACATTGCACTTAAATAACGTACAAAATCCAGAGTAGCAATGTTACTCACATTGTATCCAGCTCTTTGTTGATATCCTCATCCTTTTCAAAGTCTTTGCACAGCTGGGCTACAAGAGTTCCATATGCCAGGATGAACAGTTCAGTGCTCTGCAGAGTAATGGCAACAGTTCAGAGAGCTGTACAAACACACAGCTAGAAATCTCATTATTCTCACAGCCTTACACACAATATACAATTAGTTAAATAATTCGGGGGGGGGGGGGGGGGGGGGTGGAGAGGGGGGGTTACTTTTCTAAGGTCAGGAATTGTAGATATAACATGGTAAGAGACAGAATGAAATTCCCACTGCACTGCTCAAACAAAACTGAAGATAATTCTAATGTCACAACCAGTTAAATTATTCCATTATTTTACTTTCTGTTAATTAAAATGTTAGGCAATTTAATGAAAAACCATTTTATATTCAAGTGAGGTTACTCTGTGTGAGGATCTTTCCCCTTCTCCTATTTATTTCAGCAAAACTTCATTCCTAATGTTCTTCAAGACAGATTGAGAAAGCAAACAGCTAGGTTGTCTGAGTGAGTCATCCAGCCGAACTTTCCAATGGATCTCACTGGACTGGACCTTTTAGATTATTGTTGTGCTTATATTTATAGGTTTCTACACTAAAAAGCTTGTGATGTTGAAGTACCTATCCATATGTGACAGTTCTGGGAACTAGGAATAATGGGAATAGGAATTTGTAATGACAGCAATTCTTTGTATGATATTAATTCAAACATCTTGGCAGACTGGACATGACTTTCCTCTGTGATTGTGCCATTTGTCTTCTTCCCACTTCCACCCACCTTGGCCCCCACTTCTCTTGACTCCAACCCCCAGCTCAAATGCAAATCTTTCACTATCCAGCGCCTTGGGATGTGAAAAGCGCTAAATAAATGCAATTTGTTGTTGTTGTTGCAGCATTCCCAAGTAAAATGCACTAGATATCCCACATGCAGAATTAAGTTCCCCCTTCTCTATCCAACAATAATGTGCCTCACTCTGAGCCTCAGGAAAACACTTTAGCTTAACACAGTGAACATTTCCACTTCCCACACCAATTGATGTATTTATTTCTCAGTTGCTATGGTATATAATAGCACACAACTCAGAATTGAATAGGTGACCTGTAAAATTTTGCATTTCTATCCTACCAAAAAGTGATAGACTTGACTTAATCTGTATCATATTTTCTTAATAAATTTTATTTCTCTTATAAATTAGTGCTCTGAGACACTATCCCACATCAAGGGCGCTGTATAAATACAAGTTGTTGTTGCAGTAAATTGGGTAAGTGTTTTAAATTGTACATTGTGCAAGAAATATTAGAATTCAGAAGAAGTGAAAATGAAAAAAAATATTAGATTTAGTACTAAACTACAGTGCTGACTGGGATGTATAATTATGCTTACATCAATTGATTATTTAGCATAATTAAATGGTCAGTAGGAAACCCGTTTGACAAAATTTAATATTTTCAAATCAGTTACATGGGATGGGAGCGACAAGTAAACAATAAACAAGACACCAAAATGAGAGGAAAGTCTATAACTAACAAGAGGGTGAAGAGATAGGAGAATATTGCTGTCTAGTCTGACTAGAATCAGTTGCTTTTATTTCCTTGTTGATGTTCACGAATCTATGGGAGAATTTTACTTATAGATGCAAATAATGTACATGTTTTAATATGTAATATTAAATATACATGATAATCCTTACATTTAATATAGCATTTTATCATGTTGCTGAGCTGTCTCTAAGCGCTTCACAAGATTTTACTGTAAATTCTAGTGACTATTTGTAGGCAAATGCGGCAGCCAATTTGTGTACAGCAATGTTCTACTGACATTTATGAAGTGAATGATCAATTTTGTCTGGGAGATTTTTGGCCAGGACACTGGAAGACCCTCTCTTCTCTTTTCAAATAGTTACATGGGATCTTTAATGTCCACCTAAATGGGCAGAAGGGACCTCAGTTTAACTATTTGAGAAGAAAAGGAAGTTTTTCCTGGAGTCCTGGCCAACAATTTCCCAGAATAAATTGTTCATTCACTTTATGGCTGTCTTCAGGATACTTGCTTTTTCTGCAAATTGGCTTCCAGGTTCATCTACAAATATCCAGTCACACACTTTGTGAAGTGCTTTAAGATGTTCTTGATATAGGAGCAAAATTAATGCAAGGATTGTTAGTATTTATAGATTGAGTGGAGTTTCATTTTCCATGAACCATCAAGCATTTTAGCAAAGTCATACATAATGAAATGCTAAAATTGTAATGCTGTTTGGTCTCAGTGCAATATACGTACATAACTTGTAGGCCTAACTTAACAATTATAAATATGTTAAGTTAATTTTAATCGTTATTATACTGCACTACGCCTGGCTAACAACAGCATGTAATATTGTTCAAGAACGTAGCTCCTTTTAGGTAAAACAAAATTTATTTTGTGGCAACTGATCAAGGCTCCTTATAAATTCAGAATTAATGCCTGTCCTTAAGTAATTGATCAAAGAGTCAGTCACATTCTATTCAAAATTTTCACACATACCATGTGATGTGCTGATCCTGTGGATGAAGTAGATGGCAAATGCCAATCCTAAAGATTGGGGCACAGAAAAGAACAGAATCTTAATACAATCAAGTCATATATTAATTTGTCTAGATGAACAAATTCTAAATGGAACAATTTCTAATTTACATAGATATCCAAACAAAAACACTAACTTTCACCTGTTTGTACAAATCATGATGAAGAAGATGTACATTTTTACAGCATCTCAAAGATAATTCCTGTTAAACCTTGTTTTTATCATTTTTCATTCTTGAATCATGTAATAGCATTTGTCCAAAGGATCCTACCAAGTACTTCCTTCCATGTCAATGCAGCTCTATGTATGACTACCAGTTACTCTGAACATCAATTCACAGAGACTATTGCACTAGATATCCCATACATTAATGATGCATGTACATTAACGTTAGCAGAAGTTTTGTATGCTCTATATTGCTAAGTAGCCATTCATTAGTACTGCTCCCTCAATGTGTAGGGCATTCTGTTAATCAGTTGAGTGCCAGAAGAGATGAAAACAGAAGGTTTTGGGTTCTAATCCTGCTGGGTCTCACTCAACCCTTTATCGTTTCAAGGCTGAGAAAAATAATATTGCATCAATTTTATGAAAAGTTTAATGGACCAATGATCTACTCCTGCCTGAAACTGTGATGTTATGTTACTATGATGCTGTAGACATAATCATTCTGGAGAAGTGATTAACACACTAAGGACAATGTAAGAACAAATCACATTAACCACATACTCCAGTTGCAATGGACATTTCAATTAATTGAAGTACATTTTCATACATTTTACACACTGTGATTTATTAATTAGACATAATGTGTAAAGACACCACCTAGTGCAGCACTAGGATATAAACACCAGCAGAACACATTCCTTTTTAATCCAGCAGGGCACCACAGACCAATTGGCCCCTAAGACTTCTGCTTTTCGTGCCTGGAGATGTCCCAATGACTTAACCATTGAGGGTTGATAACATTTCAATGTTCTTGATAGTGCAATCCTAATTATCAACTGTTCTGCAAGGTCTTGATAAACCTCCCTTTCTGAGGTAATACTTACTGTGAAGATTGGTTTCCTAAACCCTTTACTATCCCAGGCTGTCTTATTTTCTTCCATCACACATCTAAATGGCCTACAAAGCCCAAGCTTGTGCACAGAATACTCTCTGCACTACTCATGTCTCTCATTGCCGTGGTGTTAACTTCAAAATCTTTCCCTTTGTTAAACTCTCTTACTCCAGATCTCATTTAAGTTAAATACTTTCTCTTTATGTGCCTTCTGAGTCGTGATTTACCTTCTGCAAAAAATTCCAAATTGGAAATACAGCTACAATTACAAATATAATCCTATAAACATACTACACTGCACATGAAACTTTATGAAGCACGTTCAGCTATTTCAACATCATAAGGCATTCTATCAAATGCAAAGATTATTACATTATTATTACACCCTAATGACATTTTACCACTTTTATACAGAATATCTGCTTATTCTAATCTCTTCCTGTATTGCGGCCTTGGAGTTGACTGCTTCACCCCAGGGAAGAACATTAACCAAATGGGACTAACTCTTGTTTACTTCAAATTAGCATTAAATGTATTATATTTACTGGTGGTAGTAAAATGCTGATACATACCCACTGTATGTTTGTGCATGAGAAAAGGATGTAAATAAAAATGGATATATTTCATTGACAGTGTTCAAAACTATGACTCTCTGTGGCATGAAAATACACTTTTCTGCTCTGCCATAGATATTTGCTGTATCCCTATTTACATCAGACATACTACATCCTCTTATCGCAGACTCAGATACAATGAAATTCCATTTATAGGAAAAATGTTCCAATTCCCCAATTCAACTTAATGTCAGAATGGTAATAACACTTTTGCTAGAACAGGATTTTTGCCAGATAGTGATGAGTTAAATGTCTCATTGTTTAGTTCCTGAAGAGCAGTTTGGAAAGAAAGTATACGCTGTAGGTTTAGTTTGCAGCCTGAAGAAATCAAGAATGCAGTGCACTTCTTGGCTTAGGGAGCCATTGAATTAATCTTGAAATGAACATTTGAGATTGCAATAATGTCAAACCAAGTGGGCTTTATAGTGCAACTCAATGCGAATCTGCTGCATACTCAAGGCAATTCAAGTCAGAAATGTTTAATCAGATAGAACCTCATCTCACAAATATTACGACAAATAAGGTTTTACTTAAAATAAGAGAAAAATTAAAACAAATAAACTGCCCCATAGAGAGAGAGACAGTGAATTTCTTTGCTTCCACCATGAAAATAACCTTCCACTTTACATTCTTCAAACCCACTGTAGAAAGAAACCTTAAAACTGGGGTACTTCTTTCATCAAGAAATTGAAGCTGTTCCAAGTATTGAGGCATCTGCAGATGTTACGATAATAATAAAATGCTTTACATAATGTAGTACAAAAAATATCTTACTATATTTTGCTTTTCTGATCTTCTGTTTGATTTTCGAGACATGGTTTTGAGAAACTCTGTGATATAATATCCATTAAATCTGGCCTTTCAGTAGAAAAGCATGTCTTGCAGTTCCTTTTGCAGTCCGTCTGGAGCTAGTCAGATTCCTTCCCTCCTTATAAACATCAATGGATTTGAAGAAAATTCAAGACAATGTTGCAGTACCACAAACAATGCTAAGGAGACACCTTCGAGTTCAACAAAACAGCTCCACCAAGAGGCAAAAAAGACTGTATACAGTACTATCAGTGACAGTGCATTTGCCAAGGTTGATTAAATTATTAACCACAGGACACTACACAAATAAAAGTGTATTTCTCAGTTTATGCGTGTGGAAAAAACATCCTACTGACCACTGAATTACACATCCTGACTGATAAGTGAGAGAAAAAAACAGTAATACTTTGCTAGTAATGTAATATTTTATGTCTACCCCCATATGTAAATATGGAATAAAATTGTGTTCTGAGCCATACATTTAAGAAAGAAAGAAAGAAAACAAGAAAGAAAACAAGAAAGAAAACAAGAAAGAAAACAAGAAAGAAAACAAGAAAGAAAACAAGAAAGAAAACAAGAAAGAAAACAAGAAAGAAAACAAGAAAGAAAAAAAGAAAGAAAAAAAAAGAAAAAAGAAGCCCCATTATTGCTGATCTGCAGACTGGGCTAAGAGCTTGAATCTTAATATTGTTCTGCACTTACATTCTCTATCCAGCAAGCATACATGAAGGTCTCTTCTGAGAAATCTCTCAGAGACTAGATTGAAGAAGCTTCACCTGTCCAGTCATTCCTAATAACACATCCCACTGACACTGAGAATCCACTTTATTCCTCTCCTCTGCATGCCTCTAGGGCCTGGGAGGCCCTTGTATCATAGTGACGTAAACTATTATTTCATGGATCAAAATTCCACTTTGAGCTCAAAAGTTAAGATCACACAGAATTGTTCTGTTCTTAAATGTTAACAACTGTGGAATCACAGCTTCCAATTTATGACTGAATTGAAGAATATTCCACAATTCTACACAATCATACATTTTAAGACAAAATAGCCTTACTGGCTAAGAGTAGATGGACCTTTGGGCCTCAGGTGTATCCTGATTGTGCAGCTTCAGTGTTCAACTGATTTGGCAATGTAGCCCAGGATTCTGTTTGCCTTACTTACTGCTGTAATAAGTCGGCCTTCCCAACTCCTCCCTCCACAGGCTGCAGATAATCCAGAAATCTGCAGCCCGTATCCTCTCCCGTACCAAAACTCTGTGACCCCATCTTCCCCATTCTCGCCTGACTCCATTGGCTCCCTATCCTTCAGAGGATCCAGTTCAAGATCCTGGTTCTCACATACAAAGCCTTCCATGGCCTCGCCCCACCCTATCTCTGCGACCTAACCCCTACCAACCTGCCCGTTCCCTCCGCTCAGCCAGCTCCGGTCTGCTCCACGTCCCCTGCCCCACCCACCCCACCATTGGCAGGAGAGCCTTCAGCCACTCTGCCCCCAACCTCTGGAATTCCATTCCCCAGTCACTCCGCCTCGACCCCTCCTTAGTCTCCTTCAAGTCCCACCTCAAGACCCTCCTCTTCGACCATGCCAGCTCGGGTCTGAAATACTGTACTCTGTCCAGCGCCTTGGGACATCCTCTCGACGTGAAAGGCGCTATACAAATGTAATCTTGTTGTTGTTGTTGTTGCTGTCTCAAACCAGATGTAGTGAGCAATTATTAAACTGATTGGATTTCTTTCAACATCCTACAGCAAATTCTATCACAACCATGGGTTACCTCCTGTTTTTATTTTATATATACTGTAGAGTTCTTTGCATTTCTTTGTTGAACTTTATTCCTCTAAGGGTGTGTTGATACAAAATAAATATATTAGTTTTAACCATACATTTGGTAGCTGTTTGTCATTTGCCCAATCTCTTATTAATAAAGATTGTATTTATCAACTGTATTGATTCAGCTACTTTAAAACAATTAGTGGTACTTTGCTAAGCATGCACAGTCTGGTTTGCACCATTTGGATATACAGATGGGATACTGTCATATATTATCTTTTTGACAAACAAAAAAATGTTTAAAATGTCCAATTGGACAGAGCAGAAAGCCATTTCTTTCTTTCTTTCTTTCTTTCTTTCTTTCTTTCTTTCTTTCTTTCTTTCTTTCTTTCTTTCTTTCTTTCTTTCTTTCTTTCTTTCTTTCTTTCTTCTTCTTTCTTTCTTTCTTTCT